AACTGCCCTCCACTCAAAACGTATTTATGAAAGTGTAAGTGCCAAAGAGAGATTAAAATCTACCTTTTTACAAATAAATTTGCAAAAATGCGTTAAAAATGCGAAGGGGGCTCGAGCTGTTCCTTGAATTTCGTGGAGACCGTCGCAATTTATTAAACTTAAGCAAAACGGTAGGCGAAAATTGAAAAGAACGCCAAGTGACTACTTCTTATCGCTGCGTATGACTGTAAGTTTTGCACGGGACTAAATTCATCTCATCCGTTACGATACGTTTCAAGTATCATTGGCTTATTTCTTTAGTTCGTCGCAGCAAAAAGAAATATTCAGTACTCCCGTTCTAAGAGCTTGACTCAAAATGAAGTACATTATCGCGTCACTCATCTTCACGATGCTAAAAGTAACCATTTCTCTAAACTTTTCCTTAAACGTTATACAAAAAATAAATCATCATAATATGTAGGAACATAAATAATAAACATCAATTCTTTTTAACGGCTTTGTATTGACAACAATAATATCAACTTAAACTATCACTGGAATTCAATGGAATTCTTTGGAGGTCAATAGGATTTTTTGGTGGGCAATGAAATTTTTTAGAATCTAATGAATTTATTTTGCAGTTTTGGAAATCAGATGGATTTTTTTTTGAATTCTGTAATTCTTTCTCACTTTTGGAATACTGGCGTGCACATTTTTGCTCAGTGATATAATACCCCTCGGTTTTTGCAGAAATTATTGATACAAAAAGGTCATATTCTGGTTGACCTGGTTGAATGTCTCCCATGTTTCTTTTGCCATTTCGTGAGTCTAAAAGGGGAAACGCGTATTACTTTTCACTCAATTGACAGTTTTTCTAGAAATTATTGATATAAAAAGCTCACCTATATTCTTGTTGACTTGGTTGAATTTCTCCCATGCTTTTTATGCCATTCCAATAATCTAAAAGGAGAAACGATTATTGTTTTTCACTCAATTGACAGTTTTTCTAGAAATTATTTATACGAAAAAGCTCACCTATCTTCTAGTTCACTTGGGTTGAATTTCTCCCATGCTTCTTATGCAATTCCATTAATCTAAAAGCGAATCGAGTATTACTTTTCATTCAATTGGCAGTTTTTCTAGAAATTATTGATACAAAAGCTCACCTATATTCTTGTTGACCTGCTTCTTATGCCATTTCATGAGTCTAAAAGGGGAAACGCGTATTACTTTTCACTCAATTGACAGTTTTTCTAGAAATTATTTATACGAAAAAGCTCACCTATCTTCTAGTTCACTTGGGTTGAATTTCTCCCATGCTTCTTATGCAATTCCATTAATCTAAAAGCGAATCGAGTATTACTTTTCATTCAATTGGCAGTTTTTCTAGAAATTATTGATACAAAAGCTCACCTATATTCTTGTTGACCTGCTTCTTATGCCATTTCATGAGTCTAAAAGGGGAAACGCGTATTACTTTTCACTCAATTGACAGTTTTTCTAGAAATTATTGATACGAAAAGCTCACCTATATTCTGGTTGGCTTGGTTGAATTTCTCCCATGCTTCTCATGCAATTTTATTAATCTAAAAGCGAAACGAGTATTACTTTTCATTCAATTCACAGTTTTTCTAGAAATTATTGATACGAAAAGGTCACCTATATTCTGATGGACTTGGTTGAATGTCTCCAATGATTCTTATAGACTAGGCACATATTTGGAAATATAGTGTCGGAAGCATTTCATATAACAATTGGGAAAACAGCTTTTTTAGACTAATTAAACCTCGCTGAATCCGAAAATGCATGTTTCCACGTCGTGATTTAAACCGGAAGTCCGGACTCCAAGATGGCGTCCAGATTACGTTTGAGCGTATCTATACCTTGTCTCTTTAAATAAAATCGTAATTTAAACGTCGATCTTGAGGTTTTCAATGGTAAGGAATTCAATGCAATGCTTTAAAAAAAGACATCTTTGAAGTATATTTATTTCCAATAGATTACATAAATGTAATATAGGACATGTCAAAATTTACATTGTTACATATAAAACATACAAGACGTTACAACGAATTAAAACATTATTCAATGGAATAAAATTCCTTCTCCAGTAGGTACTAGGTATGACATTAATGCGCGTTTAAAGCTTTTTAATGTTGTTAGAGATTTAAATGCTGTTGGTAATTTATTGAACAGTTTTTTACCAAGTATATATGGTGATTTGACTTTTATGTTACCTCTGGAGAAGGATATGCGCAGGTCATTACAGTTCCTGGTTGCCCTGTTATGTAATTCGATATTTTTTGTAGGATTGCAAATTACTAAATACGTAAACACACATTTCTAAAATAAACACACAAGGAAGAGTTAAAATATTGAATTTTCTAAAATAGGTCCTACAACTGGTCCGACGAGAGTTATGGTACGAATTAGCTTCTTTTGGGAAATGAATACATTGGCACAATGCGAGGACGCTCCCCAGAAACATATGCCTTATCTTAATCTGGATTCGGCTTGAGTGCGGTATAACATAATTAATTGTTTATGGGACAGCACAGAACTTAACGACCTCAGTAAATAGTTTGTAGAATGCATTTTCTTAATAACCACCTGGCACTGCTTTTCCCATGTTAGACATTCATCAAAATAAATACCAAGAAATCTGACGAATGGAACGAACTCTATGTTTTCGTTATTGTAATATATTTCTATGGGTGACGCTTTTGCCTATTGTGAAACCGGACAGATTCAGTCTTTTTTGGATTTAAGAACAATGAATTTTTTTAAAACCAGTCATGCAAATTATATAATAGACCGTTACACTGTTCCGCAAGTTTGATATTTGATTTACTAGAAACTAACAGTGAGGTGTCATCAGCATATAGTGTGATATTAATCGTAGGTTCTACTTTAATGATATCATCTATATATAAGAGAAACAGTATAGGTCCTAGAATCGAACCTTGTGGAACACCTTTATTAATCACTAAACATTCCGAATTAGTAACGGAGATATTAACATACTGTTTCCTGCCTTTCAGATACGAAACTAGCCAACGGTAGGGTGTTCCTTTTATCCCCAAGCATTCCACTTTATGAAGTAAAGTATCATGATCCACGCAGTCGAATGGTTTTCGGGTCAATTTTTCGCCCAAAATATGGCAGTAAAAAGACCATGATTATAGAGTAATTCTATGGAAATCCTAACGCGGTATTTTCATTAAGAAATAAGGTTACATAATAAACAAAAACGCTATTTTTTCACTTAATACACTTGTTAAACTAACTTTCCAATTCAAAATTTAAACTTATTCTGCTCCTGAGTTAACTCATCACTCAAGATGACAGGTGGTGACTACTTACCGTAACAACAGCTACAACAAAAGCAAAGAATTTAGGTTCTCTCACTGCACGTACTGTAGCACTCGCATTTATTTACTAGTTGACACGCACTGTTCACACTGTATGCGTAAAAACTGATCCTTTCATAAAAAACCGTGCTCCATCAACATCAGCTGTTTTTTTAAGCATTGCATTGATTTTCTTACCTATGAAAACTCCGAAATCGACGTCTATATTACGATTCTAGCTCAAGAGACACGGTAGATACGCTCAAACATGCTCCGGACACCATCTTCGCCGCCATCTTGGATTCCGGACTTTCGGTCCAACTGTCGACGTGGAAACAGGCATTTTCGGATTCAGCAACATTTAATTAGTCTAAATAAGTTGTTTCTCCAATTGTTATATGAATTGCTTCTGACATTCTTATTTTAAAACTTATTCAAAATCTATCCTAGTCTATTATGCTATTTCGTGAGTCTCAAAGGGGAAACGCGTATTATTTTTCACTCAATTGACAGTTTTTCTGGAAATTATTGATACGAAAAGCTCACCTATATTGTGGTTGACTTGGTTGAATTTCTTCCCTGCTTCTAATGCCATTTCATAAATCTAAAAGAGAAACGAGTATTACTTTTCACTCAATTGACAGTTTTTCTAGAAATTATTGATACAAAAAGGTCATCTATATTTCTATTTCTATATTTCTCCATTGCTTCTTATGATGTCATTTCGTTAATATAAAATGAGAAATCTGTATTACTTTGCACATAATTGACATTATTTGAAAGAACCGTTAATACTCCAGAATCACTGATATTCTCAATGACTAGGTTGAATTTTTAAAATGCTTTTTCTGTCACCCCATTAATATAAAAAGAGTCATGTGTACGACCTTTCACTCAATTTCCAGATTTTTAAGGAATCATTGATACAAAAGCTGGCCTATATAATAATAGTATGGTTGACTTGATTAAATTACTCCATCATTGATTGAGTCTTTTTACTACTTTACACTCAATTGACAGTTTTTGAGAGAATCTCTAATACCAAGGTTGGAGCGGTTCAGAAAGATTCCGCTCTGGTTTTGAAGAGATTCTGAGTTCTGTAAGTATTCTGAAGAAATGTAGACAACGCTGTGTAAGACATTTTTCAGATATTGTAAAGAGATTTATAAAAGACTCATAAGGGCTCTTAATCAAAGTACATATACTTGGCGAGTATCTAACTTGGAATAAATTCAGTAAATCAAAGGTTTTTTTTCGAAAAGATTCAATTAGTATTTTAAATGGCTCTCTTATTGGTGTAATACAAATTTATACAGGGTGTCCCAAATTTAAGGTATGATGTTATGGACTACTTTTTTAATGGAATTTTTAATGACTACTCTTAAACGGGACGTAGGTATATCAAGTTACAAAAATGAAATTTGGCACACGTGTAACTGAATAAGTCGTACTCATTATGATGAATGCGGTTAGCCTGCCGTCGCGTCGTGGATAATAATCAAAGGAACTTTTTTCAGTGTTGATTTTGATTCTCCAAATGCATACTTGGATCAGAGCAAAGAACTATTTAAGTTTCACCAAAAAAGTGAAGATTTTTTGCAACCTTCCAATTCAAAAATCAGACAACCATATACGTAGTCGTAAAAAATTAATGAATTTCTTTTTTTGTAGTGACCTCAGAAGTAAAAACAGATGGACTTACAACGATATCGCCCACATCCACCTTTCCCCCCAACTTTGAACATCGCGGTGCCGCAAGGCAAATGTACGGCTCCGGATCACTTCGCCCGCCCGGTTCCATTCCGACCCACATTGCTCAAGGGAAAATTATAAAAGGAAATCCATCGCAAATTAGCAATCGGCGACGACAGTCTCTGCCAGTATCTTTCTCAGCCATTCCCGTAGTCCCTTTGCCTATTCCGATACATGACTTCGATAGAATTCCAGATGGTTATCCAATTTACATGCCAGATAGTATGCTATCACCCTCCCGAGGCGGAGGTCTACAGAGACCGTCGAATCGGGGCGGTATGTACGCAGGGAGGCCCGAGTACCCCTGGGGACGGCCAGATCACGGAATTGGCAGGGGTAGAAATCCGTTAGATCACAGTTTTATGGGCAGGGGCGTTGGTTTTGAGGGAATTAATTACGAGAAACACTACGGCAAAGCGCCGAGAAGAGGAAGCGGTGCCGGTCATGGTACCGGATACATGAGAGTGCCTGAGGATGAAGATATTCTTCCGCCGGAAGAGGATGAGGAATACGAACACCCCTGTGGGGGAGATTGTGCGAGGAACGAATTTTTGTGTCTCAGAAGTTGCACGTGCATCAAAAACATTGACAGGTGAGTCAAGGGAATCGTCGTATTTTTGCCATTGTTCTTTTGTGCTAGATGTGATGGTGATTTCGATTGCGAAGGAGGCGAAGACGAAATGGAATGCAGTGAGATGGATGGTGCTCAAAATTTAAAGTGCGAGGAATCGATAAAACACGTTCGCTGTCCCAGATCTGGCAAATGCATTTCTAAGGAATGGCTTTGCGATGGGGACGACGATTGCGGAGATTTCTCTGACGAAACTCATTGCGGTAAGACTTTGTAATAAGTGTTCAACTGCCATAAACACGAAAAATGCTTCAGGTGTTACCGCAAATTGTACAGAGGATCAATTTGAATGTGCAAACGGCCTTTGCATTCCAAAGACTTGGATTTGCGACAACGATAATGACTGCAAAGACTTTTCTGATGAACTTAATTGTACTAAAAGTGGGTAAGTGTATTTGATATATAGTAACACCTTCACTAATTTTGGGTGTATTCAGAAATGCGCACGCTTAGAGCTATCGATCAGTTCGGTAACCTAAAAACAAAATTTAATGCGCTAATAGAATTTTCTGTAAACTAATTTTAGATCACCGCCAGCAAGAAGTGCTAATATTAAATTTACCTATTACCTACCTGTGCACATCTCCAGATAATCATAAAATTTTCGTGCGAGGCGAGAGCTAATAAAATTAATGATATATGTTCAAGGCGCCAGAGTTGGCAGGACCTTAATCCAGTATAAAGTAAATGTTGATTTTTGTTTTATTTAACAGTTGTTTTGGCAACTGCAGCGTTTGTTTTGAAAAAAAACCATGAGGCTATAATATCACTAATTAGCTCCGTTTAAAACAATATAATACCTACGTATTTATTATACCAGGGGGTGGTGACTGATGCGACATAAGCATAACATATACGATTTATAATTCCCTTAAACAGTACCTAATATATTGGCGCAGAGGTGGAGCATCAAGCCGGAAAAAATTGTTCGAGAAAATTCAGTGGCAGAACGGCATAGCTGACTTTGACGCACCAAAATAAAAATTTGGTTACTCATTGAACGGGAATCTGGAAGATGGTGAACCAATTTGAATTCAGAACAAAATGAGCGATATTCCGCACAAATTAATTGTCTTTAATCTTTTTTATCAATTTACACTATCAAAATCGACGTACACAACTCACAAGATTCGCCTTGAAAGCTTGGTGAACAATTTCGTTTTATCCGATCTACAAATTTCTGCGTTTACGTTACGGAGGTTTACTTCGAAGGTTCGGCTAAGAATGTAATACGCGGTCGAAAAATGTAGTGCTCGACTTGCAGACATTTTCTTCGAAGGTTTGACTACGAGTCTCTTTCTGCGCAATTTTTACTTAAGTAAGTACTCGCCGAATCCCAAATAAGAAGCGACCACAGCGCAAACCAAGCGTTCACATTGTTTATATACGTACAATGAAGGTATGGGAGCAACGCTGTCCCTCATGGTCCGTCGCCACGGATTTTAGAACCGGCAACACTGTAGCGTTTCGGCTCTTATCCGCTTGAACACTTGTTTCTCATCTTTATTTTCTAGAAAATTACTTCTGTTCTATTTCATTATGAAGCAGTACACGTATAAACCGGAAAAGTTGTAAATTTAACGGAAAATCTTTAAAGCCTAAAGCGACTAACTGTTACTGTACTGATCTGATACCGTTGTTTGGTAAATTGTCTGTCTCCGTGAAAAAATGTATGTATCTTAATCTCGAAAACGATAGCCTGGTTTGTGCCCGCCGCAATGCATTGAAAAATTTCGTGATGCATTTGATGATAAAGCTCCTAGTCTAAAAATTGTTTATAATTGGTTTACCTGTACTTAAGCAAATTTTGCACCTTAGAGGGAGAAAAGTATGTAGTCATTGGGACAGACAGACGGACACCAACAGCGCAAAAGTGCACTAAAAATCGCAAAAGCGCTACACTCGCTATGGCGGAAGTAAAGCACCACCATTGATAAGTATAACCATTGCTTAACATCAGAATACGTTAATCAATGGTAAGTATAAATATATGAATGTGAGTCACCATGCTTCATAAATAGTGTATGTGGTCAAAGCTAACCTGAAAGCTTGGAACTATTGTTTTCCACTTGTTGGAGAGAAAAATGCGTGCTTAAAAGTGTTGTCAGTTTTTTCGAAATATCCGATATTGGCGGATTCATAAACAAAAATCGCCCAAAATTCAGTCAAGCATCTATATCGAATGTTCTTTTCCACATAACGTACGACCACCCATCGTAAAATAGAGTTTTTGGTTCACTTACCATTTCGGAAATGTCACCTTACAAATCTTCATTTGTTCTTCAGCATCCACCAACCGAGTCAACGCTGGATTAATAAAAACGGGGATGCAAAATCACCAGTAGGCATACGCACAACCTTAACCCAATACGTGCAGAGTATGACTAATTCGCAAAATATCCTAGATTGTTCGATCACCCCACAACCGGCTCTTTTGTTATCACACCGACGCACGTTTTGTGACGTATCCCATTAGTAATTAATATTCCGTCGTTCAACAAACTCGCCGGTATCTAGTGGTTCGAATTTGAAGGCCTTTTCGCAAGCTCTCACTCAATTTATATTATTGGTATTTGTCTAGGGACCGACAAGAAATCCAAATTCCAACTATTTAGGGACAAATTATCCAAATAATTTGGATTGTTTTCGTCAAGATATCCAATTTTTATCGACAAATTATCCAAATCCAAATAAAGCGACAAAATATCCAACCAAGTTGGAAACTCCGATTTGGATATCTTGTCGGTGGCGCGACAAGATATCCAAATATCGAATTTTTTTTAGACAAGAAATCCAAATTTTTGGACAAAATATTCAAAAAGTTCGGAAATTTTTTGACAAGATCTCCAAACTTTTTTAGACAAGAAATCCAAATTTTATTCAAGCCCTTTAATCACGTATGAACCTTGTGCAGTACGAAACATTTCAGTTTCATAGCATTTAGTATGTTTTCATATAGCGTCAAAGAATTAGTGCCTATCTAGTAATAAATGAGTTATTATTAAATTACACTACACTATTAAACGCTGTATAAAAAGTGAAACTGAATGCTAATTGCTATGCCGTGTTTTAACATTGAAACTGAAATGCTGATATGGAATTTTTCGTACCTACCACAAAAGGTTCATGCCTGATTAAAATTATAATTAATAAGTACTTTTAAAGCTCAGCACTTTGACAAGCACAAAGCTCTCACGCTGAAAACAACTGCTGTTAAAAACGTATAGGTAATGATCAAATACACGAAAAAGCGGCGTACCTTTATCTAGTCGAAAATTGGATATCTTGCTGAAAACTTTCCAAACTTTTTGGATTTCTTGTCTAAAAAAGTTTGGATATCTTGTCAAAAAATTTCCGAACTTTTTGGATATTTTGTCCAAAAAATTTGGATTTCTTGTCTAAAAAAATTCGATATTTGGATATCTTGTCGCGCCACCGACAAGATATCCAAATCGGAGTTTCCAAATTCGTTGGATATTTTGTCGCTTTATTTGGATTTGGATAATTTGTCGATAAAAATTGGATATCTTGACGAAAACAATCCAAATTATTTGGATAATTTGTCCCTAAAAAGTTGGAATTTGGATTTCTTGTCGGTCCCCCATTTGTCTATAAGCCTTTATATAGGTACACGATATGACATACAGTGAGTTTTTTTAACCATAGGATTTTGCATGTTAATTCTTCAACCCCCTGTTACATATTATTTTTATGAATATTACAAAGCCTAACGCTGTTATTTTATTGTATATTAACTATGTCTAGTTATTTACTTCATTTTGTGTTACCTACCTAAAATGGTATAAAGCGACATTTTGGAATGAAAATAACTTCCTATCCTTGTGAAAGTTTGTTGGACCGCTAAAAATGACGGATCAAAATTAGGCCTACTAAATAATGGGAATTTTTCAGTGTTATTTAAAGCATGCTAATAACTGTTTAATTGCGAAACTTTTCCCTAATTTGACCATCGTCGTATCTTCTATGGTTTCGGAGTAGATCACCATGATAGACATCTTTATTTGGGACACAGTGTAGGTATATGAAAATCTGTAGAAATCGCTTGGAACTCGTTTTTCAGGGATTTTCGTAGTCGCAAAGTTCAGATATATCCTCAAAATTACCCGGGGATCCTTTACTTAGGTGTGGCGGTACGGGGTGCCGGGGGTGTAGTGTGGTGAAAACTCTCCACAAAATACTATACAATTTTTGGGGCACTCCTCATAGCTCGAGACGCGAGAAATGGAGAACGCAATTCGACCTTTAAGAAACTTTTGCTCGACCGAAGTCGACTACCCCTTGAAGCGCGCCTTTTAAAGGTGGTTACTCACTTCCTACGAAAAAAACAAAATTCCGGCACGCAAGAATTGTGCGCATTTACAAAAACTTTCCGACGACACCAATTTGGAAACAATCGCACTAAAATTGTAGAAGAAGACAGGAAAAAACTAAACAATCACCACGTTGGTAAACATACGCTCACATGATGTAGCCCTGTGCCTAAATTTGTTAATGACACGGCCCCGGTAGGTACATGTACACTCCTCGTTTTTCTACAAGCGTTCTCCTACGAGCCCGCATTTGCTGCCAGCCAGAGAGCCAAAGTGAGATTAAAAGCTAAATTGGAAACTGCCCTCCATCCAACAATGGATCGCGCTACCCACTTACTTATGAAGGTGAAAAGGCCAACGCGCGGCCTTTTTTCCTCACATTGAGCCAACGCTCACTTGAACCAAGCGTGGCGCAATTCTGTTATAAAGCCTCTATAGGAAAAGTTTACACGAAGAGCATTTATGAACTTTCTAGAGGCCATTAAAAGCATGTTCTCTAAAGTTTTCTAGGTGTTCTACAGTTTCTAGCTAGAACCCTCAATAGCACGAAGAATCTTTAAGGTTCTTCAAGAACTTCAAACATTTTAAAGCGCGCCGAAATACAGCTAAGAGCATCTAAGATCCGTCTTGACCAAGAGCACTGCAAAGCTTAGTTCTTAAGAAAATTTAAAGTTTTAATAATTAGAGCTTTTAAGAAAGGTATTGGTCTATGTAAGCCTTCATGAGTTACCAAATGCTTCTTCTCCAGGAGCTTTCATTGATTTATCCAGTCTTTTAGTGGTCTTTAGCGCCTGTAATAGAACTTTCAAAAGTATTTTATTCCCGAACCCTGAAGAGCCTTTTACACCCTTAGCTAAGCGGGTATTCTAGTGGATTTGATAAATATAGATAGTACCTATGTCCTCCAACTGGGAAAGCAGGGAAACCAAAAGAAATGGTAAGAAGAAATACACATGCACTTTCATGAAATCATCCTACTGTAAATACTGTGCCAATCTTTCCTTTCGAAAGAATAAATTGCAACATGGTAGACCTTATTAGGGATCTGTTTATATGTAATAATACACAACGTTATCCTTCACTAAAAATAAACAACGAAGGACAATATGTTGATTGCAAGCGTCCTTGTTCTGATTTAGTTTGTATGTATTGCATTACCAATTATATGAAGTTCGCCTTCGTCATTGAATAAGTAATCATAGCCATAGGTACTTATTCAATGCCTTCATGAAAACCCTAGTGAAAACCTTTGATTGTACCTACTTATGTTCATAGTATGCCAAAATATCCTATTTACGGTTGGTAACGCGTAGGCTAGGGTTAGGGCCAGCTTTTCCGATCTTGAATCTATATCAACACAGAACTAAAAAACCCTTTCTGTGACTATTTTTATCGCGTGTAAGGTGGTAGGAATAAACACACCGTGCGTGTTTTGTTTAATAGAAAGCAAGATAATGGATTTGCTTTCTATAAACCGACTCATTCAAAAGTTACGGCCACAATGGTTATTTTTCTTATAAAGCAATGTTGGGGTGCTATTTCGCCTTTCTGAAGCATCCACCCACGCCACGCTTCGACGGGGGAAGAAACCTTGACATTGACACGAGACTCGCGATTATTACCTATAGATTCGATTTGAACGATGACACGTTCTCGTAACAATTAACACCTTTTTGCTGCCAGTTGTGTGTTCAACTTCTAAAATTTGTGTTTCTTCTAATTTAAGATTTCTTATTAGATTTAGGTAGGTACTTAAAACGGCGGGGATGTTACATGTGTAACGTTTAGATGTTTACATTAGGTATACAATTTATTGTTTTGGCACAGTCTATCTGTTTATAAGCTCCGGGAAAAGTGGCATCGATCCACGATGCTGGTTTCCGTGGCGACGAACGCTCCGGTCTTAGTCGCCTGTTTGGGGGTGGTCAATGAAAAAGTTGAAATTCGAAATTAATTTCTATTTATTACCTACGTTTATAAATATGTTCGTAACTAAAGCGGTACGAGAATTCTCTTCGATAGCGTTAGGGTATTTCGACAAATTCTGTTTTTTACATTAACAATATGCACGTAAATAACGCTTAGTATTTCATAATAAGAGTCACCCTCATATTATAGTTCTTGTGCAGATATGAGCTTCGAAAATTCGAAAGTTTCTAACTTTGCTTTCTAATTCTAACTACCACTTTGGTTGGGGTAGGAGGTACCATGTAACCTATAGCAAGATATAAAATAGTACGCTAAGGGTCATTGGATTTGACCCATTTTAAATATAGGCTTAGGTATGTGGTATATAGGTGGTATATAGGTGAACTGTGCAAAGTTTGAACCGAATCGGACCAAGCGTTGGTAGTTGTCGTGTTCACGGACAGACAGGCGGACACCATCGATTGCCCTATAAACCTTGCATCGCCTTGCTCTACCGCTTAATAAACCATATAGTAAATGCAGCAATGGGCAGAGGGAAGATTTCGCCTTTTGCAAATTTTTAACTCATTTTCCAACTAATGTTTTAACCACAGATGCTTCTAGTAAATACAAGCATAGGTACCTCATATTGTAAAAATCAGGATTGCGCCTGGCAAACTACGCAATGTGAACTTTCTTATTATAGCGATATTTTTTGAGGTTTTAACCAGATTCTTTTAGTAAAGACAAACATATCGCATATTGTAAACATTAAAAAATTTACATGAATTACAACGCCACGCTATATATGAGCAGTGGCGATCCTACCCCATTTGTAGTAGTATGTGTGGAGGATCTTACGATATATGCAGCAGTAGACAGGTAGATCGGAGATCGGAGATATAATTCGGGTAAAAGAACTTAAAAGCAAAATCTGGATTCAAATTGACACATTTATATATATTATATTAGATGTAGCAATGTGTGAACACGTAGTTCTGAAGATTCCAAGTGAAGCATAAATTATTAAATCAGTTGAAACTTTTACTGCGGCTGCTGGTGCAGTAATCAGTATCTATCGTTAAAATGTGCGAAAGGAACATTTTGGAATGCATACTTATGCGAATTAATAGCGTCATCCTCATCCATTCTATACATCCCGCTATAAACAAACGTTTTCCTCAGCATACGTGAATAAGCTGCGAGGCAGAAACTGCAAGGGATGCTGCAACCAAAACGTGTTGCAAAAGCAGCGCTCTATTGAGAACATATGTACAATCTCTAGTCTCGAACCGCAACTTTTGTAGACAGCTGCGGCATAAAAACTGCAACAGACAAATCAAGAAGAACACTTCAAGAGATCTCAGGAAACATGAGTACCTACTCACAGTTTGAGTCAAAATCTAAATTATCGGGGACGCGATGAACGACGAACCAAACACTTTACACATAGTCTTTTTTATCTGCGGAATCGCATGCATGGTAACTTCAGGTAGAAGACTTCAAACTTCTTTATTTGACGAAAACTGCCCGTAAAATTAAGCTCAACAATGACATACGCTTTTATAATCGACCCGAAAATAGTATCGCTTATTTCTTTGTTTTCTCATTTAAAGGTGAAACCACCTCCATTCATAAGATCCATATCGTTGTTCCCCGCCGTCGCTCGCTGTTCCCACCGCCAACGTCCGAACTCCAAACACCTGCATCCGTTATCTTGCACGTGGCGTTGCTCGTAAACAAGGTCAATTAATTTCTCCGATAACGCCTTTTTACAATACGTATGGCCAGATAAAACTGTTAGGTACCTTACGTCGAAATTACAATGAATGTTCCCTTATTTATACTATAAAAGAACTAACATTAAAATCACAATTTAAAAAAAATTCCAATTCTGTGTCTATTTGAAAGAAATTCTCCCAGATCCTACCATACACCGCACTTACGCAATAGCAGTTTAATACACGAGACTATCAATTTAAAATGTGTCAGTGTGACTATGCAACGAAGGATAAATCTAATTATAAAACAAACTTATTAACATACAAGATCCTCAAGGATTTAAAGCCTATGCCCAGTGCGCTTTCGTCACCAAACAGAAATCCAGTCTTAAAGCACATTTACTCTGTTAAGGATTTAAAATGGACCCCTTTATGTTCCAAGATTCAACACGTCAGGAATGTCAACTCAGTGGATATGATCGGTATTCTACTGGTAGCTATCTCTCTCCCATATGTTTTGGCACAGATTTAGTGGCTGTGGGCTATATCTATGGAATATATTATGATCCAAGGTTTTTTGTGATAAATTGCGTTCAAGGGAAGGGAGTGTTAAAAAAAAATGAAAGTGACGTGAAGGGAGAACCAGTTAAAAAAAAGTAATTGCAAAAAACTTTATCGAAGCATGAAGAAATAACGGGCTAAGGAAGTAGACGTGAAGGAGTGTTAAAGGAGGTGTGAAACGGACGCAATGGAAAAGGCGCGAAGATAAAGGTGTGAAAGAAGGGGGCGTGAAAGACTAAGGGGGCATAAAGGAAGGGTAAGGGAGAATGAAACAGCGTAAAGAGAAGATATAGGACATAAAGGAAGCTTGGAAGAGGCGTGACGAACCGATATATGTCACCATTGTATAATACAATGATGTCACGAAATAAAACCCGATAAAAATGGAAGGCGACAAGGAAAACCTTGAAATAACGTGGTATATTTTTTATATGTTGAAAACCTAGATGAAGACCGTGAAAGCAAATGAAATAAATGTAAAAGTGTGGCAAGGAAAATCGAAAGTGCAAAAACAACGTAAAAGTGGTGAAAGAATGGTAGAACGAGGAGAAAAAGGTGCGAGGAAGCGATCGTAGCATGAACATGAGGCGTAATGTGAAAAAGCAAAGTAGTAGATTTTGTAACGTAGATAGAACGACTAAACTGGAAGGGTATACACTTTAATATCTTGGAGGAGTTCTAGAAAGCGTATATGATGAAGGAAAAGAATGTGAAAGAGTCGTAAAGAAAGTATGAAGAGTTCCTGAAGCAGGCAGCCAGTAGGCGCCAGGAAGTGTAAGCGCAATAGAAAGTGTGGAAGAAATAGACATGAAGAAAAGAGACGAGGAGAAAGAGGAAGTATGAGAAAGGAAGTGTGACACAATCGAGGTAGGAAAAAGGCGCAGAAATTTTCAATGAGCCAATGTGTAGGTATAGTTGCGTATCCTTCTGAAAAGTTCATTTGGATTAGGGGCGGGGGGGTATGTACAATGTTCGTCGAGCATTGACATGATAAGAGACAAAACGTGTCAAATAAGTACCTACCATATATGTCCCCGACGGGATAGTTTTATGAATACTATAAAAACTCTATGGTTTAGTCGCAAACCGCAGAATACACCCACTTACCTCCAACCATAGGTATATATCACTCACACTCTGTAAACTATTAATGCTTTCAGTTGCACCGAAGATGAATTTACTTGTAACGACGGTTCCTGTATATCGCTGAGTTGGAAGTGTGACAAGGAACCAGACTGTACAGACGGTTCGGACGAAGCCGACTGTGGTAAATACAATGTTTTCAATAACTAAATATTAGGTCTAATTCCAAACTTAAAGATATCGAACCGCCATCCTGCAATGAAGGAGAATTTCAGTGCACTTACCAGAAATGCATTAAAACTGAATTTAAATGTGACGGTGATGATGACTGTGGCGATTGGAGCGACGAAGATGACTGTCCTAAAACTCCTGGAAGCTGTGTGTCCGGCGAATTTAAGTAACCAATCCACTTTTTACTTGGCAATCCGTTAAGTTAATACGTTCCTTTAGATGTACGAGCGGAAAGTGTATTCCAGAACGATGGAAATGTGATAAACAACAAGACTGCGAAGACAACGAAGACGAAGCGCACTGCGAAGCTACCTCAACGAAAACATGTTCCCCTGAAGAATATGCCTGTAATAATGGCGCGTGCATTTTGGTAAGCTTGATGAGTAATTACTATTTTACCAATAATTTTTATAGGATACGTGGGTATGTGATGGAGCTTCAGACTGCAGTCATGGAGAAGATGAAGCGGACTGCAAAATTGTGTGCGACCTAACGAAATTCCCATGTTCTGGCAGTGACACAAATAGCACGCTCACAGAATTTTGTATTAATAAAAAGCATGTATGTGATGGACAACGGGACTGTCCTAAAGGCGAGGATGAAGCTGACTGTCCCACAAAGCGTGAATGCGAAAAAGATACAAAGTGTGCGCAAGCTTGTCTAACAACTGCAGATGGGAAAAATGCATGCAGTTGTTTTCCTGGGTATCAATTGGCGACAGATGGATTAACGTAAGTTTGTACAGGCCAGATTGTACTGTTCACACTTAAATCATTACAGATGTGACGATGTAAATGAATGTTTGTATGAAACCGATCCTGTATGTTCGCAAACTTGTAATAACACAATTGGCAGTTTTATTTGTGGTTGTATGACTGGATACATTTTAAGGCCCGATTTACGTTCCTGTAAAGCTTTAGGTGCACCACCGACGTTACTTTTTGCGAATCGCATGGACATAAGACAGGTAAGCATTTTAAAAGTTTGTATGATGGATGTGTTCCATACTAAAAAGTAGCTATAAGGTTTCTTTGCAGGTATCACTAAGCAATACAAAATATACTGCCATACTGAAAGGGTTACACAATGCAATTGCGCTCGATTACCATTACGAAAAAGCTACTATATTCTGGTCGGACGTATCTATGGACGTGATTCGGAAAGCATTTATAAACGGTTCCGGAATTACTGGTAAGTTTCATCCTCAAGCCACACTTCTGACGTTACATTCCAGACGTAATTAAATGGGGGTTGGAGTCACCAGGTGGCGTGGCTCTAGACTGGGTCCACGACCTACTATTCTGGACGGACTCTGGTACCAGAAGAATTGAGGTGGCTACTTTAGACGGAAAGCAGCGAGCGATCGTAACCGCAAACGACTTGGATAAACCGCGAGCAATCGCCGTACACCCGGGCGAGGCGCTTGTTTTTTGGACAGATTGGGGACCGACCCCAAAAATTGAAAAGGCGGAAATGGACGGTAGCAATAGAAAGAGCATTGTAACGGAATCGGTTTTTTGGCCAAACGGACTTACGCTAGACTACACCACAAACAGGTTGTATTGGGCTGATGCAAAGCATAACGTCATCGAGTCCGCGTTTTTTGACGGTACCGATCGGAAGAAAATCATAAGTAAAGGTCTACCACACCCTTTTGCTTTAACATTATTTGAGGACGCGATATACTGGACGGATTGGCATACGAAGTCCATTTCAACCGCGAACAAAGCGACGGGAGCCGGGTTTAGAACCATTCACTCAAATTTGCATTTTCCAATGGATATACACAGTTATCACCCTCAAAGGCAACCGTCATATAAAAATCACTGTGGAGTAAAAAATGGAGGCTGCCAACATATGTGTTTGCCGAATCGCAAATCCTTCACTTGTGTTTGTCGGATGGGTTTAAAAATCAATGAAGATGGAAAGACATGCCAACAACCTGAGAAGTTACTGATATTCGCCCGTAAGAAAGATCTTCGAATTAAGCACTTGGATAGTAGTGCTGTACATCAGCATGAAATGGTATAGTACACACACTGGTAAGCTAAACGTTTAACCGGTGCATTTTGCAGGTGATTCCAGTGGATGGCATCAAATCCGCAGTAGCTTTGGCATGGGATTCGGTTACGGATTCGATATATTGGACTGATGTAGAGCGAGATACAATCAACAAAGCACATTGGAACGGAAGCAACCAACAAGTTTTGGTGCACACTAACATAGGTAAGCCAAAATCGTAACCGGCATAAACTGATCATTCATTTCACAGTAACACCCGCCGGTTTGGCACTAGATTGGATCACGCACAAATTATACTGGACCGATTCCGGTACCGCACGAATTGAGGTATCCAATACGGATGGATCTATGCGAGGGCTATTAATTTGGGAAGATCTGGACAAACCTCGCGATATTGTCGTCGATCCAATCGGCGGCTACATGTATTGGTCGGACTGGGGTAAAAAACCGAAGATTGAACGGGCCGCAATGGATGGCACAATGCGCACAATACTGATAAGTCAAAATTTAACTTGGCCCAATGGTTTGGCGATTGATCACGCCGCTGGAAAGCTTTATTGGGCCGACGGCGGAACAAAAGCGATTGAGTACTCAAACTTGGACGGAACAAATCGGGAAGTTTTAATAGGTAATCAATTCTTTGCAAAGTAGCTAGGCCAAGCGAGTATTCGTCAAAGTTTGGACGTAATTCCTTTTTTTTGGGGGGATTGAATTTCTGAACTATGATTTTCTGCTTTTATTTCCAAAATAACGGTTAAGCATTCAATATAGTCAGTCTTTGGTGCAGATAAGGAATTTGGCTGAAAGAATAACAGCTGAGTCAGGTTGAGCTAAGGATGTGTTCTGTTTGTTGATGCTCCTATCCTGCTTCTTCCAAAGGGCTCGCCATAGCTACTCAGAGACAAGCTCATATTTTGTGGTTATTCAAAATTTGTCTAATAATACTCGATATTTTATTTTATTTTATTTTTTTATTTTTTATTTTTATTTTTATTTTATTTTATTATCCCTCTCTTGTTTTGGGCCCTCAACAGGCATGCGCCCAATTACAGAGTGACCCGCATACTGCTATTTAGAGGTGCCTCTGCAGAAGGTCTTAAGATGGTCTATACTACTCCGGTATTTACCTTACGAATTAGGAAAACTGCAGGAAAACCTAATTCGGAGTAGCCGGTAGAATGCTCGGAACTGGTCTAAGGTAATTTCCATCTTCGCCACAGATGAAAAATTCACCTCAACCCAGGTTCGAACACCCGACCTCCGGATTTATAACCCAATGCTCTACCATTGAGCCATAAATCTGATAATCTGATATGTGCTACAATACTAGATCAACCGCTAAAAATACGAAAAAGTGCGAAAAATCATTAAGTTATAGGAATTCAGCCCCTAACATAATGTAACGTGATTTATAAATTCGGGTTCGATTTATATCAATATTTATTAAACAAAACTAAAACACTATAAAAACTGTACAATTTATATTTCCGCGCTCGATGTTTCATCCGTACTCGATCTCGTTCGGTAGTAAACTTACTGCGATGTTCGGTCCGCAACCATTTATACACGCAAGCAATGTAAGTCCAGAACACTCGCGTAATTACCGGATAGTCTCGAATATTCCTATACAAATACCACTATCGCGCACGTAGAAAATTCCAGAGCGCCAAAGGCGACGTCATGTCTGGAGCGTTTCCGTTACACTAAGAATGCAGCAGCATTGGGATTTTCAGAACGTACCTATACCTATAGGGACTGTGCAATGTTTCAGTTCTACTATATTTTTTTCAAGGTTATCGCTTAAAATGCAACTCCAATTTCAGGCAGTTCAATTTTACCGCATCCCTTTGGTTTGGACGTATTTGGTAATTACGTCTATTGGACCGATTGGATCACATCAAACATTGAAGCGGCCACCAAGTTAACGGGCTCAAATCGCACAATTCTTGGATCTGGCATCAATGAACTTATGGACGTGAGAGTGTTTCACAGAAGCCGAAAGATTATAAAAACCGCTTGCTCGAATAACAACGGTGGTTGCACGCACTTATGCCTATTAAAGCCAGTAGGGTATAGCTGCGCGTGTCCCATAGGAATCACACTGGCCGTAAGTCGACAGTAAGGATTCTCAACAGCCTAAAGTCTTACGTTTCTAGGAGGATGGTAAAACATGCGGGCAGGGACCGAAAAATTCTCTAATTTTAGCACATCGGGTAGACATAAGGCAAATATCTTTGGATGTACCTTATATAGTAGATGTGGTGCTGCCTCTCCCACCATTAAAGAATGTTATGTCAGTTGATGTTGACCGCAAGACAGGTGAGATCTACTGGACTGATAATAGTGAAGATCTAATACAGAAAGCAACTGCTGATGGAAAAAACATAACGACTGTGCTTTTCCATGAACTACAAATGGCAGACGGTTTAGCAATCGACTCAACTGGTAGAAAGGTTGGTGGCGCTTTGGCAATTCAGGGTCTAATCAATACCAATTGCAGATCTATTGGACTGACGGCGGCCGAAACAGCATCGAGGTAGCTGAATTAGACGGTACAAATCGAAAATTATTGATTTGGGAGGATTTAGACACACCACGCGCAATTACATTACATTATCATCACGGACTGATATTTTGGTCCGATTGGGGTACCCATGCTAGAATTGAGAAGGCCCACATGGATGGAACTAATCGGTATTGAGATCTAAAGCAAATTCAACGCTAACTGAAACTTGTTACAGAGTTACATTGATAAGCACAGATTTGGAGTGGCCAAATGGTTTGGCAATCGATAGACCTTCCAATCGTCTGTATTGGAATGATGGAAAGCTTAAAGTAATTGAGTCTTCGAACTTCGATGGAAAAGAGAGAGTGCAAATTATAAGAGACGCCCTACATCCCTATGGCCTGGTAGTTGTCGGCAATCACATGTACTGGACGGATTGGAAAACGCAAGGATTGCATAGGGCAGATAAAATAACTGGTTCAGACAGAAAGGTTATTAGAGACAAACTGGAGGGTTTAATGGACGTTCGATCAGTGCAAAGCGATAATATCGCCGAGAATGCCTGTGGTACCAATAATGGGGGCTGTTCCCATTTATGTCTACGTAATCCTCAAGGCTACTCGTGCGCGTGTCCAACTGGGGTCAAAATGATAAAGAGCAGTGATAGCACATGCGAGTTGCAACCCCAAACTTATTTGCTCCTTGCCACTCGCGCAGCATTGGCGCGTGTCAGTTTGGACACAGAAGAACTATGGGATGTTACCTTACCAATCACAAACATTCACCACGTGATTGACGTAGATTTCCATTGGGAGAAAAAGCTAATTTATATCACGGATGTTGATAGAGATGTAATACAAAGCATTAATATGAAGAATTTGTCCGAAGTGACCGACGTAGTCTCACAGAATTTGTCAACCCCCAACGGTATTGCAGTCGACTGGATCGCAAACAATATATACTGGACTAATGCAGGGAAGAAACTAATAGAAGTGTCCAGATGGAATGGCACATCTCGAAAAGTCATCATTATGGAAAACCTGTTAGAGCCTAGATCAATTACTGTATTTCCCAGGCGTGGCTATCTGTATTGGTCAGATTGGGGAGCTTCGCCGAAAATTGAGCGCTCGTACATGGATGGGTCATCGCGCAAAGCGATTATCACCGCAAAATTAGGTTTTCCAAATGGACTGGTGATCGACTACGCAGCGAAACGGCTCTATTGGACTGACGCCCGTTGGGATAGAATCGAGACGTCCGATTTACACGGGCAAAATAGAATACAATTGGTGCACAGTGAACCAAACGCGCCCACTACTCACCCTTTCGGATTGACACAGGTAATTTAAATTGTCGAGACTATTAAATTGATATCGTATTACAGTATGGGGATTATATGTACTGGACCGATTGGTATCAGAAGTTAATTGTGCGTGCTGATAAAGCGAGCGGAAAAAGTTCTGCAATTATTAGGTCGAATTTAGATGGGGCGATGGGGATTACTACTGTTAGTGCGAGTCGTCAACAAGGATGGAATCCATGTGCTGAAAATAATGGCGGTTGCACGCATTTGTGCTTTTTCAAAGCCCGGAACTACACTTGCGGTTGTCCAGATGAAAACGACGGGAACAAAACCTGCCACCATGGTAAGTTATGTACAAGTAGTTTAGTTAATAAGCTCGCAGTTCTATAGTCGTGGGTAATATGAATCGACACTTAAGGCGGCTCTGCAGTGAATGTTGAACTATCCGCAAAACAACGAATCATTTTTTTAAGATTTTGATTTTATAATCGCATTTAAAAAAGGGCCGATGTCAAATATTGTAGGTATTAACCAACAGAATGATTGTGCGTAAACCAAATTTTAAAGTTTGTCATAATTTTGGAAATAACTAGTACAATTGATAAAGCTTGTCTTAAAGATGACGGCGCCTCTATAAAACATACAGACATGGGTTTTGGCGATTTACAACCAGCTAACAAAATTGTATGATTGTACATAGATATATCTTTTTCATCCCTTAAATTAAGAAAAAAAATTGGGGAAAATGTTTTGATGACATCATGAAGTATTTCCCCAATTGAAAGCACAGTTAGGCAACTTAAATTACACCATACACCCGCCGGAGAAATTGTCATTAACTGGCAATTGCGAATTAATCCTATTCATTTTTCTTTAGCTTTAGAGATTAGGCTATTCATTATTATCTGCAATGGAATTCACCGTCTTGGGCTTTGTCCGGCGTCATTAACACCTTCCTATAATTAGATAATAATGTAATTTAATGTATTTGTTTACCGGTTCTATTGATTAGAACTTTGTAATGGTAAGATTCTTGTGGATACCTACGCAAACCGATACCTAAAAATATTCAAGCTTTCATTGATCAATTAAATCTGACAATGTGTACACCACCGACATAGTTTTTCTTGACCTATCGAAAGAATGATTGTTTCACTTCTGGTTCTATCGCATGTCGATAGCAACTTCTTTTTTAAATAGAAAAACACCCTGTATTTTCCAAATCTACATGAAATTTTACGCCGTATGATACCAATTTCCCTATATGCAGCATCAAAGGATTTCAAGTTATTCAAGATTTTGAACATTTTTGATGTTTGGCTGTTATCCTTTTGAGTCCTGTAGGTATCTATGACTCAGTTGACTTCAATTTTAAAAAGTATTCCAAAATCGGCAGTGATGCTGCATGACAATGATTTAAATTTTGTTCGCCTTTTTACAGGGTGTTTTAAAACGAATGGTCAACTTTATTTAACTTCAAACCTTAAAAAGTTGATTTTTTCAAACGAAACATGCTTTACTTTTTTGCACTGTCAAATGTCAAAAAAATTCTACATTGATCTAGTATTACATTCCCTATACTGTTATGCTTTCCGTTTTATTATAGATTTTCTAAAATTGTGACCGTTATGCATAATTTTCTTAGGAGGCCTTGAAATAAATGCGTTAGTAAATGTTATTTTACCAGCATTTGAGAATTTACATGAAGAAAACAACTGGTTTCAACATGACGGAGCGCGGGCTCATTCTATCCATGATGCTTATATACATATATATCTTTGACGAACATTTTTTGAAGATAGGAGCCAGAGGTCCCTGGCGTTGGTCTCCTAGAACTTATCAGACACAACGCTATTGGGGTTTTTTGTGTGGGGTCATATAAAGGCAACATTTACTTCACACCAGTTGCTTTTCGTGAAGAACTGGAAGTTAGGCAGAGAAGAGCTTTTGATGAAATGGATAGTAGTAGACATTAGAGAGACGGCTACGAACGGAATTAATCGGAAGATCCTATTATGTATTGAAAGAAACGGTGGCCACGTAGAACAAAACCTCAATTGATGTTGGTTTTTTTTATATTGTCGTTTGTTATTATTACCTGTTTCTGTTTATTATGTCTCCTTTATTTAACTTTTTATTCATCTACCATTACTATCAACTATAACTATAAAAAGGTCTGACAAGTCTTCTACCGTTATTTCAAAGCTTTCTAAGAAAATAGTGCATACGGGTCACAATTTTAGCAAATCTAAAATATAACGGAAAGCATAACAGATAGGTAAACGGAACGTAATACTAAATTGCTGTAGAATTTTTTTCGACGTTGAAAGTGCAAAAAAAATGAAGCATGTATCTGCATGTATTAATAAAGTTGACTATTAGTTTTAAAACACCCTGTAAAAAGGCGATCAAAATTTAAATCATTGTCACGTAGAATCCAGTCAGTACTGTTAATTTTTGAATTTAGAAAAATCTTGAATTACTTGAAAACCTTTGATGCTGGGTATAGGGAAATGTGGTATCAAACGACGTAGATTTTCATGTAGATTCCGAAAATGTAATAAAATACAGGGTGTTTTATTTAAAATAAGAAAGTTGCTATAGGCATCCGGTAGAACCGGTAGTGGAAAAATCATGATAATATTTTCTTTTGGCAGATCATAAAAAACGTTGGCAAGTAAATTTTCAGATTTAAATGATTAATGAAAGCCTGAATACTTCTAGGTAACGGTAATGGTATTTGTCTATGACTAATGTAGTCATTTCAAAATAAATCCAGCTCAACAAATTACAAAAGAAAGAAAAGAGGTATTTCAATTCGTTTACTTAGGTACTAATTGCTTTGTTTGTGAATGAATAGCACCTATAGCCTGCAGCGTGTTAGAATCCACATTAGAAACATCAATAATTTGTATTGTTAGTTGCCTACAAATTTTTCTATCTAGGCGCAAGATCGAAATCTTAATTCACTGCAGAGCCGCCTTAAATAGATGATTTTAATTATTAAGAGGATACAAAAGGGACACACTATGACTGATAAGGCAGTGTAGCGGCGCTAGTGCCTTCAATTCGTAAACGTGTGGATAAATGGCACCCTACAAACGGAACCATTTCTTATCAAAATGACGTCAAATATGTTTTTTTTACTATGGGGGTTAGGGGGATCGATGGCCGCCGCATTCTCCTTAAGTTTTTGTATGTAAAGGTCTAGCAGAAACGCCGTTTCTCATGCTCCGTTAGGATGGTTTTCAGAACCGGCAACACTGTGGAATTTTGACTCTTATCTGACACTCGTTTCTTATCTTACCGCGCTTTATTTTCTTTTTCACTATGGAGCGGTACATGTATACAATTTCCTAAACCGGCAATGTTGTAAAACCAAAATCAAAATTTTCTAAGACCACAGATGGCGGTCTTGCATCTCATTAGTTTGTGTGCCCTAGTTCTTCTTCAATATCGTCTTAACTCTGCTATTCCATGCCTGATATATAACAGCGCAGGGTAGTGATTTGTTCTGGTGAAGGCAACCATCAATTGAACCTCTGTCTCTGTTCACCTCACGCTGTCACAGAATTGCGGATACGCGGACACACAGATACAGAGGTCATAGCAAAAGTCACTTTTCTAACTCGAATTTTTGCATGATTAAGCACCAAACACTTCCTATTCTCCCACTGCTATAAGCATGGAAGTAAAAGGCGGCGCATTCAAGTAAAAATATGAAATTGCAGTAGGTACATCTACTTCTTATCATTTGCAGAGCCCTCTACCTGGTTACCTGTGAAACGCCCTGATAAAGACTATGATGATGACGATGATCTGTACAGCGGACCCGATATCGATTCAAACGAAATTCCACCAGAAGCACCCAGAACAGGCCTAATGTATAACAGAATACTACTGACGCTTGTAGTACTGCTCAGTGCAGTTTCCCTATTGATGGCAGTACCGTGTATGTTACTTTTGTATCGTAAACAGAAAAAGAAGTACTTGTATTCAACTGGGAGGAGTGTGATGACCTTTTCAAATCCCAATTACTACACATCTAACAACGACTCAGGACAACAGGGAACGTCGAATACTGTCGACAAAAAACCATTCATATGGAAAAGATTGAAGTATGACAAATCACAGGTAAGTGGACTTCTTATCATTCAATTTGACCAAGTTAATCATTACCGAAGGAGAGGGTATACGAGGAAAAAACGGGAGGAAATAGTCCGGAAGTTGCGAGCCTAATAGCGAACGTACTAACTCCAAGTAGTTCAAATTGCGAGGCAATCACCCCTGAATTGCAGCACTCTCCGACTGTAACTCCATTGCATCGCACCGAAACGGTTCAGCCCGTAATGTAAACCGTAGAAAACAACCGACTTCCCCTGCACGTGCCAAATTTTTTTCAACATACCAAATAATTGAACTAGTCACCTATCGTTTACTAATGGATAATACAAGGTTCGCGTCGCAATTATTGTAAATAATTGACTGTCAAATTAAGGTGACTGACAATAAATTAAGTTTTAATAGAAGAATGGAACAAAACAGTAGGGCTGTTATAAAACTGAAATGCCAAAGATAATACCAATCAAGACATTTCTTATGAGTTGAATAATTAGATATTTTTCTAAAACTGTTTGTTTAAATTTTGATCGATCACGTTTCGATTCTGTATTAATAGTATGTTATAGCACGGTTTTAGAAACTATTTGATATGGAAATTTTTCTAAATTAAATAACTTTTAAAAATGAATTCTTTCTCAAGCTACAAAATGTGGATGTTATATATATTTTCAGATATGTTCCAGTGTAAATTGTATTTATGAAAAGAACAATTTATTCTATTGCTGCAGTATTTTTCAATAGATGTAACATATCTCGTTATAAACAGCAGCGTACTTTGGGAAAGTGTAGTTGATTTTTCTGAATGTAAGTATCTTTCATATCAATTCATTCTCTTCGCTCCTTTACTAACAATTCATCCTACCTATGTAAAACTATTCATTTATAATTTCTTAAGTTATTTCGAAGATGTGTGTGCGACTGTGGCTATAATTACTATAGTAATATTTTTTATAACAAGAATGAAGATGAACATTAAAGACTGATTGTTAGGGTTTGTTAAGGAAGTAGTTAAAATAGGACTGTTGTAATTAAATACTTTGTAAAATTTACAAAATATTTGACTATACCAATGAAATACGGTATGAATGATTAAAAGTACAAATGGAATTTATTTATTATGAGGAAAGATCACAGGACTCATGTGGCTCGTGAATCGTTGTGATCTGATGTGTCTACATTCATATTTCGATACGTATTTGCAAAATTTTTTGTATATGTACGATTATTGTTAGGTATAAATAATTTTTAATAAACACTAAAAGAATGTAAGTACGTATAAAAACATATGGACCTGTAACACTTCTAGTTGTACTTATGGTACCATTCTGTACGTAGTTTCAAAAAATTCTTAAGACCTATTGCAAAATTACAGCTTTGCATTCAAAAAACGAAGATGAGTATTTGTGAAATGAACATTTTTTTTAATAAAAGCCAAAAGATGGCAGTAAGTGGAAGCAGCTCAAAACCAAAACCGCTCATGTATTGGTTTCTAGTTACGTATAAATAAATCGATTTATATTTGTTAGAAATACCTACTTTTTCAATTGAATTTTTACATTATAAAACAAAATCTCATAGTAATGTTTTAAATAAGTGTGTATAATCTGTGGGGGTAATATTTATAGTATTATGTTTGTGTATTCATGAATCCTGTTGAGCCTCTCCAACAGAAAACATGTTAATAATAAACAATGTATTTTAAATGTTTTTTGGTGTTTTATTATAATCATCTCAATCCTTTTAGCACATCTTTAATAAAGTATTGAAAATATGTCGGTAAGTATAAATTACTGTTTTTGATATTGCTATAGAAAACTTCTCAAACCTAACTAGCTTTTTCATGAAATTTCTCTCAGTACACATCCGCACCTTGGCACAACAAAATAATTCAATTCTGACTTTAAATTCCCGATTCCAAGGAAACAATGGCCAAGGTCAAGCTCCGCAAATTTTGAAACCGTCATTTACCCAATTTTGAGCGCACTTAAAATGAACTTTGCGCACGGATAAACAAAATATAACGTAATTGAACATGAGAAGTCTCTCTTCATCGTTAAAGGGTTCGAATAAACCCACGACTTAAACATGAAATCATATAATTAACAAACTTGAACCACAGCGTCCAAATAAACAAACATCAAAAAGCCTTATCTTACTTTTTTCAAATGCCAATAACACAATACGATCCGAACACAACACTAATTACGACCGGAAACAAACTTGACCTCGGAACATCAATAAAAACTTCTTTTATAAGACGGTCTGCAAACCGCGCTCGGCAGCTCAACTTTCCATTTCTCACAGTGCAACGGTACTTCCACTTCAAATAATGGCAAGAAGGCTTTACCGATGAGTCCTCCAGTATTTAAACAGACTTCCTTCCTTACATCCTTGTATCCTAAATTTCATAAGGAATTAGCGACCCTTGGAAACTCGATCAACACATGACAAGTGTATTTTCACATACGCCATACTTTTCTCGGAATAATTTTATCTTAAACTCTAACATTTTCTACAAAAACAAAAATTTTTAACGAAAAAAAGCCACCTTATCTCTAAACATTAATCTGTTATAAAATAAACGAAATACCTAATAAATCTAATCGATGCTGTCACAAATGCATTAACGAACAAATTGATAGTTTTATTTATTTACAATTAATTATATTAATATTAATTAATTTATAACAGCTGTGAAATGGATTCATTTGTAACAGTAATTATATTTATCACTCACAATTTATAACATATTTGCACTTTGCATCGATGTTAGAACTGACTGCAGCACAATTCGATTTTGCTTATATAGCAAACCTCCGTCTTTCTCGAACGCTTCCGAACAAACAAGTCATATATCCTGGAAAGAATGCGTTTAATCATTAATCTCTTATGGCGCCTGAATGTCTATAAGGATTTCTAGAATATTCGCTACATTAATAACTCCGTGAGGATGTTTTTGAGTAGCCAGTAACAAAAGTAAGCAGTTGCAAAAATTAAAGCAGACATAAAATCTTTATTTCATAAAATAGGGTCTATAATAAAAATTGGTTCATACAATCTACATTTACAACATAGATCATTAATAATTTTGTAATAATCACAAAAAAAATAATACAATCATATAAGCGCATATTTAATATACAATACTACTCTACTTAAACTGTCTGTATCCATAAAATTTCCTAACAATAAACGAGTGATAAATAAAAAAAATAGAGGATGGACAGGCAGCAAAATAGACTTCTGTTAATCACAATTAGGATTGTTAAAAATATCAAAAAGTACTGTAAAATACCATGAATGGTTAAACTAAACACTACACTACTTTTCAAAAATAAGTAAATATTAATAATACATTTTCACTATCAAATATTCCCATTTCTTTCAATATGATTTTATAGCTGAACATGTGAGCAATTTATTTTCTTCTATATTGCTTTATGTTTTGCGATGTTAGGCTCTTATTTGATATGTAAATTATCAAATGTTTATACAAAAATATGAAAAAATGAATTGCAAAATACATAAAAATGTAAAAAAATGATTATGTACATAAGTACCAACTGCCTATCAAATACACATAGGTCACATTCATTTATTTTACAGTACTGATATTAATCCTATTTAATACTTACAATCATATCGTTGTTTTAGTGTGGTAAATTTTATATAAGCAAATTAAAAAATATCTTAGAACATCAATTTATGATTGGAAGTGCGTGTTAACACACGAATTTGGTAACTATCAATGGAATGGTATGAGAAGATTATAAAAATAACCAGTCTTAGTATATTAAAGTTAGTGTAAAAATAAGTTATATTGGCAGACTGTAGTAGAATTTCCAATATTACATTAGTTGTCTTGGATTTTCAATTCTGGAAACACTTCATTTAGAGTGACTTCCAAAAGTTCCTTTAAAAAATTACACTATTAATATTGTTATAACTAAATACAATGCACATATTGTGAAGTTAGTGCACAGGGTGGTTCAAATTTGTGGTTCACCATTGGGATCTCGGTAACGCTGAGAGTGTAGGTTAAAAGGGGACAAAGAGGCCCTGTTTTGTGACTAAACAATCGCTTTACAAAAAAATTTTAAAACTAGAAGTTTTCTTCATTCACATACCACAGATCTTGCTGAATCAACGAGGCTATAATGGCGACACATGGTAAACCACAAGGTAAAAATTCAAGATTAATTTCCACATAAATAATAAATATTATATAATAAATGATTTTTTTTAATAAATGATTTTTTTTAAATAAATTTAATTTGAATTTTATTTAAAACGCATTTCACAAATAATTTCAATAACAATATTCAAAGTAAATAAAAAATTTCTTCTAGTCTGAAAGAATTGTTGAAAGTTCCCATAATGCAACTTGCATTCCCTCTTTGAATTGCAATACTAATTTTCTGTTTTAAGAAAAGTGTTGAACGACTGTCGTACGTTTTAAGTTTAATTAACGCTCCTATAGCTTCAATGAATGATATTGCTTCATCACACCATGGTCCAAGGATTTCGACAGCAAAAGGAACGAATAAGTAATTATCTGTGACAAGGTCCTTATATTTGTTTAGTTTTCTTTTAGCAGCTTGTTTAATTTAATAAATGATTATTTTTAAGTATTTCTTTTTATTAAATATTATTTGGTTTTATCACATAAGTGTAATACTTAATCCTGTACTGTCTTGTTTAAAGTGGATTAATAAATATATTTTTCATTTCATAAAATACAAAGTGTTTACTATCACTGGTATTGTAATTTTTTTCTTTACCGAGTGACGTAAAGGTTCAAATATAAGAAATCATGATGTTATTTACTTGAAACCCACAAGTTTTTTATTTTAGCACCATTCCGTGTGGGTCGAGGTGTGGGTGTGTATAAAAAAAGAAAAAGTATAAGGAGGTTGGTTGTTCGCGCTGAACCGGGATTCAATGTCGTAAGCGAAGTTAAGTCGACACCTGTAAGTTAGCGCGGGGTGGTTTTTATTTTGTGCGAAATTGGCGTTGGGTCGCGAGCGAAGTAAAGTCAACTATCTGTAATTGACCACAGGGTGGATTTTATATTTTGTGTTATTCACATTACTTGCGGAGAAATTGCATGCACCTACAGTAGCAAATCAAAATAAGAACAATAGCCTAAAGTTGTAAATGCAAATTAAATTTGGCGATCTTCAAATTCAAGGTATAATTTACGGCTTAGAAATGTAATTAGAGGAAGTTTTTAAACACACGGTGACCCTGAAAAGTAGAATGGATCTACTGTACTGCATGACGTAATTCGTCGCCTGTCTGAACCGATCGATTGTGTGCAAATGTTTTTTTATGAGATGACCGCCAATTCATTACTCCTACCATTCTTATTATGCAGTTATGATCCGTTTAAAATTTAAAATCAAAATAATTCGTTAGGATAGATAGAATTTGCTACTTACATAGAAAAGCTGCTTATTCATCGTCTTAATTTGAAGAGTATCAAAAACTTTGTTAGCACCTAACTTAGCTGCACTAGTTCCGACGAGAGTATTTAATATTTCTGGAACATTCGCATTAAACTCCTTCCTGGCGTCATTTTTTGTTTGCATTTTAACCTGTACCGCCCTTTCGGGTGAAGGTTTTACCAGCGTACCCGACGGCCACCAGCTCTTAATTATTAATGTAATGTAATAGTGTAGCATCTGTTCGGAGAAGCACCACGCTATCGTGTCCCTTATTTGTCTATTTATCGTTCTTCCGTAAGTGACCTGAACGAATGCAATTAGCGTCTTTCGCAAATATTTGAAAACTCCTCGCATATCGAAAATCTCGCTCATTAAGGAGTAAATTGGCTCGGCGATCGTATCTTTATTATCGTCTAAAAACCTGGCGGAGTTTCCGTTAAATTTGGAATAATCAGCGTCGCCGCCGCCACCGGGAGCGTCGAGACATTGCGAAATATTGTCATCTTCGCTTTGCCGAGAAGTAGTTTGGCTATCTCTCGAACCCTGCTCACTGCTGTTGCTGTTACAATAAAAATTAGTACCAAATTACACCCATTAAAATTATTACCCCTTAAATAGTGTCGAGAATGAGAATTTTGATTTTTTTGGAGAAGGAGTGGAATGCTTGAGATGCTCAGAGCTAGGACTTAGGAACGAGTAAATTGCTTCACTTTGATTCAAACGATCATCTTCTAACACGAACTAAAAGTGGAAATATCAACATGATCAAATGATAAAGGGAAATTACCTCCAAGTACTTCTGAATTTGTACTTTCGCCTTTTCAAGTAACATTTTATCAGACTTGCCAAATAAAAACTTAAAAGGCTGCGAGGGTAGTTCGACATTTTTAATATTGGAACACAAAGGACGTAACTTCCTGTGTAATTCTTGAAACTGACTAAGTGTTCGTGAAACAACCCAACCGGTGCTGATACCCTCCTCACCTTCGATACTTTCATTTTCCACCATATGAACAACAATAACAAATTGCGGAGGCTCTTTTTCGTCACCAATCTGCAACACAAACAAACTGATTTACTCTACACGAACCACCGGTGGCAAATTACATCTGCACTTTGCACAATAGCCCTCCACTTCCCCAAATTTTCACCCCACGTCTCGGTCCTACTAATATGAGCTTCAACCTGCCGTTTTTCACCTTCCAACCACTCGACCTCCTTCTCCAAAATCTTAAGAACGCGAGATTCCGGTTTTAACGACGACCGCAACGCCTGTAAAGCCTGCATTTTATTATTTAGCTTCTCTTGCAGTTGGTCCAGTTTTCTTTTCGCGTAATTGGAATGGTCGCCGACATGCAACGAGCTTTCCAAACTTGAAGCCGATTCCCCCGAAAGCTGCCTCTCTTCGATGGTACCGCCGGAATCAGTTTCAGTAATATTGTCTTCGTCCATAATGGCGGCGATCATTTCTTTATAAAATCTACTAATGATAAAAGGTTGGTAGTATTTATCTTCCAAGGTTTGCACGACTTGTTGCTGTACCTCGTAGAAGACATCTGGTCCTTTATCACCTAAAAAATAATCATGGTAAGACCAGTGGCTAAATGAAATTAAACTTGTGCCTAAAAATATCAATTTCGAAATTGACTTTTCTTACTCTTAATTTAGAGGAAATGTCATATTGTATCGTTAACGTGGTCATTTATCATGCAATATTAGACTAAGTTGAGTGACGCACAGTTACTTTTATAATGCGATAGTAAGTAAAACGGTTTGTACAAGGTACGTGGAGAGGTAGACATACCCGAGAAGTACGCCAGCGCATCAAGTTGTATCAATTATTTTACACGCTAAAGATACCCCATTTTGTTAAGAACCAGGTTGTCAAAATTATGCATAATGCGACGTATTTACCTATAATAAGTACCAAGTAAATACCTGATTTTTACGCAAGCGGTGCCATTTTGTTGAAAAAGAATAAGTACACAATGCACATGGTGTTCAAAGAGTTAAAACACTAGCATAATTTGGAGTTTTAATAACCTACCTAGGAGAAATGCTTCCATCCGTTTCCGCGTGGTTTTATCAACCTTTATCTCTCCCGTAGGATTTCTTATAAAAGTATAAAATATTTCTGCTCCCAACTGATGCCTATTTTTCCTTGGGGCAGTTCGCAATTCCTCAACTGCCGACCAATATCCTATCAGACCTTGACTAGCCACAGTTTCCAAAAACTGCGATAAGTATTTGCGACCTAACAGATGTTCTAAAATTGACGACAGTGGTAAAATCTACAAAGGCAAATGGTAGCGTTACAAATTTGAAAAATTTAAATCGCACCTTATCGACGTCGTTCTGCATTTGAAAGTTTATGTCCCATCCGAGATTCGCCAATCGCTTCTCCAGCTGAAGTTTGGCGTAAGTTAATTGGTTAATGTAACGTTTTAACTTTTTCGCCGCGTTTAATTCGGATTTGTTTATGTTGGAAGATATCGTCTTTTCTAAATCGGCATCCACTCCTCGTGCTCGATTTATGTTTTGCAGTGTTGTCGCTTGCATTATCTTCGTGACAATGTCATACCTAAACAACATTGAAGAAGACGTAATCACAATAATTTTTTTTTTGTATATAAAAGTTTTGATTTTTTTTTTAAATAAACTACGTAATATATTTAAGAAAAGGTTACAACATAACAAATATTACAAATAAAATTGTAAAAAAAAAAAAAATTTAGCGTATACTTAAAATATAAAAAATTTCATTAAATGCTGTCTGTTGCGGTAAAGTGCCTAAAATACAAGCTGCATTTCCCTGCTGAACAGCTAAACTTAATCTTTGTTTTAAAAATTCAAAACAACGTTCCTCTTGTGTTTTTTCAAAAATTTTGTTACTAATTTCTGTAGTAATTTTTTTTGCAGATGGACCCCAAGCGCCAAGTGTTTCTATACCGAAAGGGTAGAAAATAAAACGGTCTAGTAGATTACTATACTTTAGCACCTTTTTTTTTGGATATACACAATACAGTAAGGTTGTTAAATTCTTGTAACGCTATTTTAAGAGCCTATATTTTAGATGAAGACATTTAACTGTGTAAAACGGGTTTTAAAGCTATATACAGTGACATCTATGCTTAAGATAGTATGGGGACAGTCGTGTATAGTGGTATATTTTGATGCAAAATTAATTTTGATTTTGTGTTACACTACCAATCAAAAGATAAAATTTTTGCATTACAAAACCGACATACCACGGTCTTAATGTAAAGTGTATACCTACAACTGTGTAGAGCAACATTACCTGATACTTTTTAACATCTCAATGTCATTAGTCCTTTGTACCATTTTTAAAAACTCTTCAAAGCTATTTGCGTACTCAAAGGTACGCCGATGCATAGCAGCTGCAACTTTCTGTGCCTCAATGTAAATAATCACCTTCTGATTGAAGTAATCAGGGTCGGTAATATGATCAACGAAGGGGAAGAACACTAAAACAATGAGTACATTAATATTACAAACCTGAATAAATATTTAATCATTAGGTATGTAGATATTTCTTAAATATTACACATTTTTGAACAAATAAGATTTTAGTAAATTTTCAAATGTTGAAGAGTAAGTAATCGTAAAACATAAGCAACATTTTCTTATAATCGGAAGAGGTTTCTACATTTGCAAAATCACCTAAATACAGGGTGTTCCTTGATGGAATAGAAGATATTTTTTGGCTTATTTTATGATATTATCATATAAACATATAAACGCTTTGATACTGATCTACAGGGTGTATAAGATTCAAGATTTTTTAAGTTTTTTTCTTTATATCTCCTGCAGTTTTTGGGACATTTCGTTCAAATTTGAAATATAAAGTTACGTCAATTTCTGTGTCGGTACCCCACTGGTAGATTGTGAAACAATTCATTTCACTGATGTCTTTTCGAATTTTTTTCATACCTGTGACCGTTATTGAGAAAAAAAATTAAAATCAATTTTTCGAAGTTATCTAATTGAAGTATGATTTCTAAAATGGTCCAGTAGGCCCTGGCTGTATATTTTGTTTGCATAGGATTATAAATTAAAAGTTTAAATTGTAAGATGAACGACGAAAAATATACAGGGTGTTCCATTAAAAAAAAGTGATATTTTAATATGACATAATTATGTATCTTTGGACCTACAAAGAAAACACCCTGTAAATTTATTTTTAATTATTTTATAGTAGATGTAATATTTATTTGACTTTTACCCAGGATATAGAATCTGATATGAAAATTTAAATAGCAATTTTGACAATAAACTGACGCTCGCAAATAAAAAAATTAAAAGTTTAAATTGTAAGATGAACGACGAAAAATATACAGGCTGTTCCATTAAAAAAAAGTGATATTTTAATATGACATAATTATGTAACTTTGGACCTACTAAGAAAAAACCCTGTAAATTTATTTTTAATTGTAGATGTAATATTTATTTGACTTTTACCCAGAATAAAAGATATAGAATCTGTTATGAAAATTTAAACAGTAATTTTGACAATAAACTGACGCTCGCAAATACCAAATTTTGAAGATTGGGCCTTCGGGTCACAAAGTGTAGATAGATGAACAAAAATAATGGTTTAAGTCGATATACAGGGTGGTGACTTGTGTAGCGCATCAGAGGGATTTCAATGTAAAATTCATAACATGCGTAGGAGACCTACACCCCCTGTAGAACATTAAGATACTGGTCAAAGTCTGAACCAGATTTCAATTTATATTGAAATGCATACATAATTTTGGAAACTTTTTTGTATAACACTGTAAATGCTAGATTTACTTTGGCACCTACCGAACATTCAACAAAGCATTTGTAAATTCTGTAAATACTTTTCATTGGTAAATCTAAATCACTTTTGGTGTGTGCGATTTACCTCTGGATTTCCATTTATTAACACTCACCTTTACAAGCAAGTACTTCACGTAAAAAATACTTAGCAGGTGACAGTGAGTAGCTGCGAGGAAATAAAAACATAATTAACACTTCGCTAACATTCTGCAAGTACTCCAACTCCTTATTATAAGAGACGAGATGCGGTGCAAGTGTAAACAATGGAGGGTGATTGCTTTCAGCACTAGAAAACGATCACAAAAATAAAAGTGAAAATTAGCGCAGAAACTAACATTAACAGTTTTGCATCACGAATCTTTTCAAAGTGATTCGTGATCTTATTGACTAAATCACAGGCTATCAGTTTCACATGGTCTGTCCTTGATAATCTTTGGTATAAATTATGAATTGCACTCCACACGTCCTCCCTAAAACAATAGCGTGAATGCGAATTTGAAACTGGGGCACTTACTTCATGTTGTCATTTATAACATTGGGTTCATAGGCGTAATCTTTCAAGTATATAAAAACGAAGTCTCTCATAATATAATCTAATAGCTGCTGCAACAAACTGTCAATTGTACGACCAAAAATCACAGGCAAATGATTCTGTGGGGTTTTAGCTGAGTACACCGATTCGAAGTTATTCTACAAAAGGAAGGAAAGAGAATGCCGAGAAATTGCATAAAAAATATTTGTACCATAAGCTTATTACTAAATTTCTCCAGATCCTTTTGTACGCCTTCTATTCCCATTCCGGTTTTATGTGGTGAAGAAACCAGTACGTGTATCCACACGATACCACAAATACCGACACCTACCATACAAATATTTAAAAGCGAAAACACAGAAGAAGCCAGACATATTGGCGAATACAGTATTCCCAAACATCCAATTACAATGGCAGCGTACAGCAGGCCGATACTCATCCTAAAGTTGCATTTGGGTAATTGTCTGTAAATAGCGAAAGTTATCGTTAACTATACAGCTTCGAGCAGGACATACATTTACTGAATTCGTTATCAGCTGGTTATCAAAAGGATATAATTTGTCATCATGTGATGCAGTCCATTAATAAAATTCGCTTCTAATGATGAGAGGGATTTATCTATTAGTCAACAATCAACAGTTTATAATTTGAAATAATCGCAAATGTCAAAAACCATAAACAATCACATTGCCATTTCTTAATGTTTCCATTTCATCTAAAAAATTGCCATTTCTTAAAACAAATTCAGCCAGTGTTGCCAAGTTGCATCACTTTAAGGATAGTAACTTTGTTTATTCATTTTATTCCACTGACTGCTAGTGGCTATCATTCCGTTGATGATTACTCTAAATATATCTTATATTAGTTCCAAATCAAGAATTTATTGACGACAGACGGCGTAATAGTTATACATTCAGAAAATGGTTTACTGGTGTCTGGTTGCATCGTAGTTTTGTGATTTTTTACCACTGTTTGATTTTGAGTCCTTTGATGTATTATTATAGCCTATAGTTATTCTCATTCTGATTTTTGTTGAATCCGTTCCATTGCAACAATTGACTTGAGGTTGTGGATAATTTTTAAAAGCACAGTACAAATTGTCGTAAGACGTATCTCGCCACAGAACCTGCACGCGGGCTTTCCTACAAGCCCAGAGGTATGCAGGTGAACAGCTAGATTCTTGTGAAGGCTTCTACATACATATCCAGTTTTTGATTCTTGAAAGACTCAGACATTACCACGGACCCAGATAAGAGAACCCTGGACCTACTGAGCCTAGTTGCTCGTTGCGACTAAGCTAGTAATTGACTGGTCACCCAGACTTTAATCCTGGCCCTGACAACGAAGAAGGCAATTACTAGGACAGGTTCGGGCCCGATGAAAACCCTTCTACTGCTGCCTTAGCAAGCCAACTTATTGTAGTCCGAGAGGTGGTAAACATTTTTGGGTAGGTATTTGAGGCACGCTGAAAACTTGTCCAACATTTCTCCAATAATCCCCAAACACAGAAATGCAGACCTTTGCCAGGGGCCTTCAAAGTTTGAAAAAAATAATGTCATTGATTTGTGAATCAATTTCAGACATATGCAGACATACGCTAAAACGCTGCTACAGTACTATCAAGTATGCGAAATCGATAAAAAAACTTGTCTGAAATTGATTGACAAATCAATGACGCAAGGCCAAGGGAAGTGTATACTGGTCGCAATAAATACATGAACACCTAGTGTACTTTGATCACTTTTGACGAAAGTTTCAAGAGAATTGTTTTTATTTCGGCATAAGAAACGATGAAAATTTCAACAATGATACAATTACAAGTAATTCAGACGACACTAATAATGTGTACATCATTCACTACTTCTTACGGATTCAGATACTCGACTGAGCATACATTCTTTTTTCAAACTTTGAAGGCGCCTGGTAAGGTGTTAGCCCTGCTTCTCCTCAGCCAGGTCTGCATTTCTGTGTTTGGGTATTATTGGAGAAGTGGTGGACAAGTTTTCAGCGTGCCTCAAATAATTACCCAAAACTGTCTACCAGTTCTCCTACTATTGGTCCTTTCGTTGCCAGTTAGACTCACATAAGCTATCCACATTTCGTCTACAATCAACAAAGTCGCTTCTGAAGTGCGCCTAATTGCATACAAAATAACTTCTTCCAACAAATATACAGATCTGGCTGTCATTTGAATTAATTTTAATATTTTTGCTTTGGTTTCACAGAAAATTTTCCTCCAACATTTTCCAGATATTCATAATTATGTTTTCACATTGCCAGTAGATATGTCTCGTTTAGATGATCTTTCCGCCCTTTGTAACTGTACCCTTCTCCGACACGACGATATATGCAGTAAAAGTTTTGACATCACCACTAGATGTGTCTCGTCGTCAGACGTTCTACGTGCCCTTTATGAGTACCTTCTTCCGGCACTTTGTTTTTAAGATATTCGCTTCGATTTCACCAACAGAGATACGTTTCGTCCGGGCCATTGATATTGCCTTTGTGGGTACTCTCCTGTGACAAACCGTTTTCGAGATATTCGCTTTTTAAAGATTTGACATCACCAATTGATTGATTTTTTCCCAATGGCCCTGTGTGAGTATCCAGTATCCCCCCCCCCCCCTCCGACAATCCACTCTTAAGATATAAGGGGTCGAGAAAGAGGAGAACGATTGGTAGAAATTAATATTCCGTTCATCGAAACCTTTCATTAGAGTACCATGAAAATGATGACCCCCCCCCCCCCCACTCAATTTTGGTAAGAGGTAAGAGCGAAGGGCTGTAGTTGGTAGAAAGCAGTTTTTAATTCATAAAAAATGAGTTAAATACAACAAAGCGTTGCCTTACCTCTAAAATTCATAGCATAATCAAAGAGTCCGCAAACTCTTTGGTATAATCTTTCAGAAATGTTCATTTTCTAATCGATCTAGAACAAATCAACAGGCTCTTTGCTATATATTTTTGTAATTTGTTCACAGTACCTCCTAATATAATTTTAAAGCAGCGATATTTGTGTCACTTCTGCCAGTTCTAATTTTCAAGCCAAATTCATTTTTCTATTGATCCAGTTTGTCTACTGTACCTCTTAGTATGATCAAATGACCCTAATTTTTCTCATGGATTTTTTAGGCAAACACTCGTATTTTTGATAGTTTTTTAATTCAATTTAATTTAATTTTTGAATCACGTATGTTTTTGCAATATTCTGACAATGATTTGATTTCAGATGGAAAGTGAAAAGTTTTTGATTCGAACTACTCCCACTGAGGAAAATGTTGCTCTTGATTTCTCTATAAAAAACATTTCTTCACAGTTAAAACATTATCTTTTAATAAATAGAAATACCAAACGATCTAACTACATATTTAATTACTATGTACAAGAAATTTTCCTATCACTATGTAATGTACACAATACATGTTGTAGTACTAGAATACCGATACAGACCTACCTAATATTGACAAACGAATAAAGTTACTTTCATTCTGAAAATAACCAATTCTTAAACTAATAAAAAGCATACTTTCCAATTTCTTTTAAAATTGTAAGATGCCAAAACGACTAGTTGCTATCAATCTTCTTCATCAGAACGTTGCTCTTCAATTTCTCTCATCGATTTTGAAGGGATTTTATCTGTTTCGTTTGCTGATCTTGATTGCTTTTTTAACACGTTTGATTTCCTAACCGAGTGAATGATAATTCCAGTTAGAGTTAAAACGAAAGCTGCACAAGCGCTTCCTATTAATATTACCGCTATTGAAGACTGTGGTGTTTGCAAGGAGAGCTTAAACTTCTTTACCTCCTCATCATCTTGCCACGGTATCCAAGTGTCGTTCCAATTAAGCGGATCGGCCAATAAATCTCGGGGGGTATTTCGAATGTTGATCATAGTTTTCTTTACACGCATTAGCTGTTCTTCTAAGTTCATCAAAATCATCGGTCTCGTTTTTGCAAGGTTTACCATTTCGCATGGATCGTCTTTTACGTTAAAAAGACAAGGCGATTCCAATGGTTTGCATTTTGTGTTATCGTGTAGCTCCTCTGGGTTTAGTTCAGGGCAGGTTACTGTTGCCGATTTTCTCAATTCTGAAATGGTCTCTAATTTGAGTAGCTGCTTCGAAAAGTCAGATTTATTTGTCGCCTTTCCTAGCAATTCTTTTTCCTTGATTTGCATGGAAGTTATAACTCCTGCGATCGCCACAGCAGTTTCAGAATTTAAAACTAATCTTTGATCATACCCGTATTCCTTATCTTTTCCAGATGATCCGTACCAAAGGTCTTCTTTGGCCGGTGTTGTGCCATCGATGTATTTCCAATCGCCTCTACGAATCGCAGCGTAATTAACTACAGGATCAATGTTGTACAGAAGATCCGTGCGTGAACTATCGGCGTCTTCAGATATCGTCTTCCACATATCATGACCGTCGACGTCCTGCAATTCTGTTAAATTCAATCCAATAGCGGAATAAATTGTTGGCACCCAATCCGTCACGTGCATGACGTGTGTGTCTACTCTTTGGGGTTTTTTAATCAGCGGACTCCATATTGCCGCCACGCATCTTGTAGCACCCTCCCATGGTGAATTTTTAAGCTGTAAAAACCTATTTGTTATTAGAAAGTCTTGTTGCGCTTCTACTGTCAGTGCTTACGCCCCGTAAAGGATAGTTTGACCCAAAGTTTGGATGATGTGCACCTTTTGTCACAGCGCCATTATCCGAAAAAAATATGATTATTGAATTTTCCAGCATTTCTTTTTGCCTGAGCGCCGTGACGACTTTACCCACACTCTGGTCCATCATCGACATCATAGCTGGAAAGGGCAGCATTCTCTGTAGTATTAAGTCAATAAATGGTACTAATATTACCTGCATAAACACGTCTTTGGGGATCATCTATGTCGGAAAATTTTGCAACTTCTTCATCAGGAGCCTGCACTAAATTATCCGCATTACCAGAATGTACAGCTAAATGAGCCAAGTACATGAACATTGGTTTGCTAGTGTTGTGTCGATGTATAAGATTGACGGCTTCATCTGTAAACAAATTCGTCGAATATTTCCCTCTTGCGGTCCAATCGATTTCCATGTCACGTCTGAAATCGTACCCTAATTCCTCCGTTAGCTGAGAAAATGCAGCTGAGTACAAATAACGAAAATGTTCCCTTACCGTTCCGTGAGCCATGTGCGTGTAGTAATCCTGCAAACCCTGCCAGTAACCGTAATGCGAATCAAAACCGCGGAACGTTGGGGTGTACTCCTTTTTGAAGAACCCCAAATGCCATTTACCTATAGCATGTGTGGTGTAACCGTGATCTTTTAAACGCTGCGGCAAAATCTTCTCTTCCAGTCCCAGCCCCCATGGTTCGGATTCCAAAATGACTAAATGTTGCATACCTGCTCCATAAAAAATTGTATCCAGAATACTTCGAAGGGCAAGAATGCCTTACCCGTGTGAATGGGATATTTTCCGGTGAGGAATGCGGCACGTGATGGAGTACATAATGGTTGCACATAATGATTATTTAGCACAACTCCGTTGTAAGCCAAAGCATCAATGTTGGGGGTCGGAATTTGGTCACTTCCATGAAAACTAACGTCATTCCATCCCTAAAATTTGATTGAAAAATGAACTTTACAAAATTTTCAGTTTTATTTCATCCCGCCATCGCAGTTTAGAGTACCTACAGTAACTTTACACTTAAATAATGTAGGGGTGACTTTTGGAGAGAATGTAAGGGAAAGGAACCAGTCATTCGATTCCTGGGATACAAAAGATTTTTTTGTGTCATTCACTTTTTCCAAACTCTTTCAAGCTACCGAATTTTTTTCTTTAGTTTAAGGTTCTACGTCCTCCTTTTAGATTCTTCAACCCCTTTGTATATTCGGGTGCACGAGTTGGGTTTTCAGTTGGCATTCAGGTCCTTCAAATACTTCTGTTTCTTTTTAAATCGATTCAATTCCTATGGCTTCGTCTTATTGTTCCTACTTCAGATTTTTCGTATTCTTCAAACTTTGCCGACTCATTTTCCTCCAAATCTACATGTTTTCAAGTTCTTCGAATTTTTCCTTTTCTTCGGATGCTTATATCTTTTCGATTCTTAATCTCATTACATAGTAGTTTTTCCTGGGGAGCGAACTTTTTAGAGGGATAGTGTACTCTTAACTCATCAAATATACAGGGTGTTTACAGTCTTCTCTGTATCCTTTTAAGGAGCGGCAGTACAGCTCAAAAGGAGTCGACAAACCCCAAAACACCTTAGTAAAAGTTATTTAATAAGCGCGATAATATTTGTTTTATTTTTTACATTAAACGATTAATCTGTGTACAAATCTAGCAATCTACTACTTAATCAGCATTGTCCAATTGTTTTTAAGTTTGTTTATTTGACAGTAATAAGTTGTTATGACGACAACTAATTCGATATTAGAATATCGATGGACCATCGCGATTTTCGCTTTCAAAGAACAAGGCAAAAATAATACGATTTTCACCCAACAAAAGTGATAGTAAAGGTTAATTATCGATAACCTGTCAAATAAATAAACTTAAAAACAATTGGACAATGCTGATTAAGTAGTAGATTGCTAGATTTGTACACAGATTAATCGTTTAATGTAAAAAATAAAACAAATATGATCTCGCTTATTAAATAACTGTTACTAAAGTGTTTTGGATTTGTCGACTCCTTTTGGGCTGTACTGCCGCCCCTTAAAATGATACAGAGAAGACCGTAAACACCCTGCATACACAACAAATTTCGTGGAATTCTCTCCATTTTCGTTGTCCGCCCAAGAATTTCAGTGGAACTTTTATTTTCGAATTTTCAAAAACTAATTCCAGATTCGTGATTTTCACGTTCAAAAACCCCCAGATACCAAATTTCGTCGAAATCAGATTTTTTTGCACCCCCAGGTGGGGGGAAAGTATTTGAAATTGTAATTAAAAGATTGAAAAAGTAATTAAAATATTCAAAAGGTAATCAAAATACTAGGGAATGCAATCCCACAGCAAAATCTCAATCCCGGTATTTGCGGGATTGTTAGATGTTAATCCCGCGGGATCCCGGTATTTGCGCGATCCCGTAAAACCTTAAATAAATTGGCATATAAGCAATTCAGTGCGGTTAACTTCTGAATTAAAATAAATCGCTAATTATCACAATATTTAACAAAAAAGTACCTTCGGCCTAACTTAGAACTCAAAAACACCTCACCTGTAAAGCACAAAAAGGTGAACTTCTAAAGTGCCTCAAAAATCATAGTAAATTTTTAACGAAAAAAGTTTAACAATTATTTCAGTAATAACCGTAACATCAGTAATGATCTGCGTTATGCGTTTCATTAACAAAGTAAACACCTATTGGAAATGTATTTGAAGGTACTGAACAGACTCAAAACATACGCAAAACGTAATTAAAGTATTGAAAAGGTAATCAAGTAATTAAAAATTTCAGGTGTACACCATATTTAAGAGTTTTGCCCCTCACACCCTACGTCAAAATATCATATGATCTTTTTGTCGCAAATTTTGTATACCTTCCAAATTTCCAGACAGTTTTTTCTGAAATACACAAACTAACGGTTTTTTAAAAAACGATATTTTTTCTTTTTTTCAAAATTGGGGGGGGGCGGCGGTTGCGGGGGGAATTTTTGGTGGGATGTGAAAAATTTGGATTCGTAGACACAAAAAACATAAAACAAGCCTATGCCCAAAACTACCATGAATTTTGCCCCTAAAATTTAAAATTTTATATTCCTGGACTATTTGGGATTTCTGCCAGTGTCGTAAAGATTCAATTTTATTTTATGCTAGTCTTCAACCCCTGTGATTTGTGAATGTGACTACCCCGTTACAGGATGGTGAAGCAACTTAGGCTAAATAAGGTCCTAGTTCATTGGGGGGAACGGACTCTTAGACCACTTGCGAAGAAATGGAGGGCAGGTACAATAGGCTTTTGGTGTGCCTAAGTGGTACCCTAATTGAGACCTCCTGTGAATAGATAAATAGGTACCTACTAAAATAAAAGTTATGCAGTTGCGTTCCCAGAACTTTCTTAATTCACGAATTGCTATGAAAAGACCACCAAATCTCAATGTATATAACAAAGAATAAAATGAAATATTTAAATGACTACATAAGCATAAAAAATAAAAATTATAATAAATCCACGCAAAGCTATAAGCAAGTAGCGTCCGCATGATATTCGCCGAAATAGAAGGTCTATGATAATTGAGTAGTCCGGCGGAGACGAGCGAATCTACTGAGAAGCGAATAGTTCTGGGAGGAGTTTATCTAGAGGCGAGTTTTATAGGAATAATAATTGGAGATAATTTTGTCACCAAAATAAAAGTGAAGCTTTAAAATTTAGGTTTTCTTAAGTTCAATATGTTGGGGTTGAGTTTTTGCAAATTTTCTTTGCTGAATTTTGCTAAAGCGATTGGGAACCTAACGAGGGTCAAATTTCATTGGACACTTTCAAACGTAAATATTCTGTATCCTTGAGGGGAAAAACTTAAGCAGTTGGGAGTGGGGATATTCCAAGAGCTAATTTTCCGAAGGACACAAATTATTTACATGGAGGTAACCGCATTTTGAAAAATACTCTAGGCAAGTTTTTCGGGACGAATTTAACAGTGCGAGAACCTTTCGGGAAGAATTATATTGCAGGTCCTTAAGAAATATTCAAGTGCCATTAGTTTCCTAGAATTTTTCCGATTTTTCTCAAACGGCTCTAATTGGTAAGGTTCTTTGAATACGTCAAGTTTTTTTTCTGGGATATTCTCTCAAATCTTTAAATACTCTTTGCCTTCTTCCGTTGCGTCAAACTTTTTCAATACTTTTCCTTGGTATTTTTAATTTTAAATTTTTCAAATCTATCAGATCCTTTCAATTCATCATAAATTTTTTTGATTTTGAATTTTTCCGATTTCTCAGATTATTCATTTTATACGGTTCCATTGGGTTTCTTAGATTTTTTCAATCGTTACGGGTATAGCTCACATTAAAGATTGGTATTATTAGCGTCGAAAATATTCTTTAAATACGCGAGTGTGCGGTTTCACTAGTTTCTACTGCTACTAGAGACCGATGGGTTAGATAGGTACGATTTTTCAGCATTCGCTCTCTGCACCCCCAGCTACCCACTACACTTTTAAAAATAATTTGCATCCTCCATCAATACGCAGTTTAAAGGCCATACAATACTATTTCTGTGGCTTGAAGCTAAAAGGGCCAATGTCAAAATCTTCACATTTGAGAAAATTGCAGTTGAAGTTTTTGTCTAAAATACTTTTAACTACAGCTTAAGTTGTGTCCAAGCTTCACTTACCAACTTTGGCTCAGCATTTAATATGCACAGCTAAGAATTTTAGTTGAAGTATGCGAAATTGGAGTCCTCGATCAATTTGAAGCAAATCCTACGTTATCAATTTATTCTCGGTCGCGAAATTACAGCGACTGACCAATGACACTCAAAAATGAAAAATTTGATACTCGTTTTTGATTTTATTGTAATCTCTGAATTAAACACGAACACAACTACAAAATATTTAATGAAGTTAATCAAGCCATTTAAAAAATCGACCTCGCAGCTCGCTTGAATGCTTATTAGCATAACATGCTTAGCAGTAAACTAAAAAACTTAAATTCAAACTTACCAAATCATCTGCTACGATAACAATAATGTGTGGTTTAGACGAGGCAGCTAACACGGAACTGCAAAAAACTATCACACACGCTATTGGTAACGGTAACATGTTTTACGCACAAATCAATAATCAATCATGATTTTGAAAGCAATACTGCTACTTTCATTCAACATCCAAAGTGACTATTACAAATTCCATGTTAAATAGAGGGGGACCTAAACTGGATATAATTACTTATAATCAAATTTCACGTAAACCAATACCATTGAAGAATGTTTACCAGCTGAACGAGTAAAATAACAAGTTTACTATCGACGGTAATAGAGTATAAAATAATTAAAGTAGTGCGTAAAAATTAATAGCTATAAAAGTATTTATGTGAAGGACTTCATAGTGTTATACAATGAACTTTACAACTGAAACCTCTTCCGAGGAACAAAAGGTACCACCAAGTAAACAATTCCTAAGCTAATTTGAAGTTGGCATTTTCCTCGGTATTACTTATCTCAAATACCTACTTAAAGATAACAATTGCGAACTATATTAAAAAGAGAGGTGCTCGTCGTTGGTGCAATGTGCATCTAAAGGTTATAAATGGTAACGGTATAGACATGGTGTACGAGCACAAGGCCCAATCCGCCTCATCCGCCCTTATAGTACCTACTTGGGAAGTTTGGCTGGTAACAGACTAAAGAGACATAAAAAATGGTAGCCATAGTAAAACGTCACATTTTTACGTCATAACTTGCGCCAGACACATTACCTAAACCATAAAAGTAAATAAGTGATAAACGGATAAATTGCATAATCTTATCCAATGGGAATGGCTTCAGCGAGCAGGCGATCTGCACCCACAAAGTATTGTACTCCAAAACTAGTACCTATGGTCATTTCACCGAATGATCTAAATGGGAAGTGTAGGGTATGTGAGTTTGGTCCTAAGCTCGGTCCTAAGGTTCATTTCGGAAACTGTCCAGGTCAGAAATTTTTTAATCAATACCGATTGAAATAAGTATGTGACCTACCTAGTCAGTTTCCATAATGACGTAAAATTTAAATGTAAAAGTTAAATTACACGTGTCAATTTTTTCTGCAATTTTTTAGACTTACGGTAGTCCTTAAAATTGAAGGTCGCGGAAATACGTTTGCATGTGTCTATTTTAAGATAAATTTCAAGAAAATAAAATTGAAGGAAGTACATCAATTTTTCTTTACACTTTTTGGTAACTTTTTTGTGCTAGCAACTTACTGTCAAATGATTGTCATCAGGACTCTGTTCACCAGGAATAATGTCAAATTTTGGCGCTGCCAAAAATATGGAGGTATAGTTTGTTTTACCAGAAAACGTTGGGCCCAAAATCATTCTATCAGGACTTCATCAGCCCAAAGTTTTCGACTCCATTCAGCGAACACACGTGGTTGTCTATGGTCGTTTTTACCATTTTATCATTTACACGTGTTGTGGAATGCTATATCCTTCAATGATAATTTGGCATTTACTTCCTGTTGTGTTTTTTTTTCGTTTCATATCATCAGCCATGGTTACAATGAAAAATTAATTAAAATGTTATACTTACCTACTCGTAATTTTTCAGTATTCTCAGACCCTTTACAGTCTTGTCTTGCTGTCCGTCCGCCCGTCTGTCTCTAGATTATGTCCCACAATTCTTAGGTGTGCAACAATTGAATACAACCTCTCTTTTTGTGGTTCAGGTGAAAAGTTTTGAGCAAAACGCACCCAGAATTGTTATTTATACACCAAATTGGGTTGGAAACTGCATGTGTATTGATTAAAATGTGCGTCAAATGCTTTCTGTTAATTCGAGTATTCGATGCCTAGGAGATGAATTTTTTTTGGCAAGACAGACGTTTTAAATCCAAACAAATTGCGATTTAAACATATTTTTAGTGCAGGAATTCTGATGCATCAGGCGATCAAAAATCGTTGGTGGTTGAATAAATTAACCACGACTCATAATCCCACTAATTTCTTTGGTCAACTTGAACCGAATTTTCTTTTTTGGGGGTTGAGAATAGAAACAAAGTTTCTGATCTCTAGGGATAGGTAAAACAGGGTACCTTTACTTGAGTTTATTTTTACCGATGATATTTCTGTGTAGTTACAGAAAGTATTTTTCGTGAGATTATATCTTAACATAATATGTCACTGACTCCTACCGTGATTGCATTGGAGAAACTTTAAAACGCATTTGTTCAAGAAGTGCATTTTCAAGAATGATTCACATTTCGTGAATGCTAATTCGTAATGTAATCAGACTTATCCGTCAACAGGTAATTGAATATGCGTACTAAGAAACACTTTATTGATAAGTTGATAAATTGTTCCCAGTTGCGCATATTGAATCTTTTATGGACGGATAAACCCATATTTCGTTTCAGTAGCATATTATAAATTATGATATATTTGGAAAAATGAGTATTCAGATTTCAAAATGTATCGTAGAATTGTAAATTGCTACATAATCTATTGCATTACGTGCTCTACTGCTTACACGTGCTATATTACATACACGTGCATTTTCCCTTACATTATAATTGCAGATAGGTACTCTTGCTTTTGAAATGCTGCATCATCCAATAAAGCAATGATATAATTATTATTATGATATATATAGAGGATGCTCTATTTAAAAATAAATGTCGTCCAACCTCCTACCTGAAACACCCTGTATATCACATTTTTAAAGTAAAAATAGCCAAAGTTAAAATACTAATCGTCGTGTGCGAATATTTTTTCAAAACATAAGAACCGAAATTATAAACGAATATATTGCTTTTGTGAAGGCACTGTGTATTAGAACTTTAGATCATGTTCGATAATTGACCAAAATTTGGGTGTTTTTTTCATTTTTCTGGATTTTTTTTGTAAATTAAACGAACGTTAATGCATTTATTTAGTCTAAGTGTAATTAGGAGTTCAATTGGGGAAAGGGTCTAGTAAATAACGCGCTATTTACAAACAAAAAGCCTAGTAATGGCATTTATTCTCATTTTTTTTCCAGTAAGATAGGATCACTTCATTGTAATATTAATTGCCAATGTCAAGTAAAAGTTCCAAAAAACTCAAGATGATTGTTGGGGTGCATCCATATGAAACAGCCTTGTAAGAAATTTAAACCACCGGAAAACAATTCTAATGACAAGTGCCAATTATCATTACCCAACGGCCAACACCTGACTATACCGGGTATTACGGAACTGAATTAATAAATTGTATCACGGCGTTGTTTACCAATATTAGATTGGTACAAAAAATTACTTAGATACTTGTCAATCTATTTAAATAATTACTTAAGGAACAGGAATTAATTGGTTTCTGTTATCTGTAACAAAGAAAATTATTACCTACCTTGAATACAAATTTTAATATTAAACAATTTTACCTTAGAAATAAGCATGAAAGGTCATTGTACATATTAACGGCTTAGGATTAATATCTTTGATATGTTTGTAGAAAAACATTGCGCAATATTACAATCATCGGCTAAACACCTTTCTGAGTCATACTGTAAACGCCATCACAGTATTCTTTAGACTCCAATAATAATAGTTCGAGAAAAATTTACGGGTCAATGGGGAAAAAATCGGTGGCGTATAATTGTTAAACATTTTGCATCCAACTTATTTGTGGTTCGCCGACACTACAGGTAGGTCCAAAACAGCTTGGCCGTTAAATCATTTAGATAAATCTTTGTATTGAAGATGTTTATGTGCAAGAGACAAAAACAGTTTAGTAGAGTACATTTTGCTATTGTTTCCATCTATTTTCCAATTTCGGAGGGGTCTGGTTGCAGATCAAAATTAGGTTATTAGTGCACAGCTACACCGATTTTAGCTATTATAGTTACTTCTATTGTTATTAGCACATCCTCTCAAATTTATTCGAGCCTACAATGTTTGATGTGAATTGCATCGAATTAGGTGTCTTTTTTAATAGTTTGGATTGTAGAGGATTCAAAATTGACCAATTGGTAGATAGCTGCACTAAATCGAGTTAAATAGACTTAAATTATTGTCCCCAATTTACCGATAAATAATTGTAAAACTATATTTTAGGTAATTCAATGCAAAATTAGGAATGCCATGGTTTAAATTAGAAATTTAGAATAATTAATAGGCGCAGGTACCAGAAGTGAAATTGCTGAAGCTGTCCTAGTGTTAATTGGATCTAATCACCAACTAAGCCCCGATTATGTGCAATTTTCGGAATGGCAACTAAGTTTTCCGCTTTTATAGAAAACATTCTGCCCTTTTGTTTGCTTGATGAATAAGGAAGGTCGAGTTTTTTGAACTTGTTTGAGTAGATAGTAGATAGAATACAGCGCCTATTTCACAAAATGGTTCAGACTTCGATCTCAAAATAGCGGAAACGCTCCTAAATCCTCTAAACTATGTAGTTAACCAATAGCTTTGCTAATTGTATCTACCTAATTTGAACTTCCTATGTTAAACTATTGTTGGAATTATATTTTATTTGAAAATTATGCTCGTAAGCTAATTAGGCTCTAATTATTATTTCCTTTATGTAATTTGTGTGTCATTCAAAAATGACCTATTAGTGGATACGAGTACTAATTACATCCACTAACACCTGCTTGTTGTAAATTACTATATCCAATTACTGTATTTTATTAGGCATAGGTATACTACCGATGCAGACTAGAAATGTAAACAAGCAGCGAACTAATTGTGAAAAATTGCTCGAATTGCTCTCTAATAACTAAGTATGATTCAGATGTAAGTTTAACCAGCGGGTTTTTTTAAAATTATTCGCAACACGTCTGCCGACCGGCTCGACTGTCAAACCCCGCCCGGCGCTCACGTCTCGGTCGCCCAATCAGAGCACGCAGTGCACCTTGCCATATTTGAGGGACTACTTCCGGAATTTGGAGAGAACTTCGACGTATCGATAAATGCAAGTTATTTGAAATTTTTGCATTGTATAAAACAGGAATCGATCGTTTTGGCGATTTTGTATAAGCAAATTTATGCTCAAAGGCAATTTAATATTCCTGAAGAGGTCGACCCACGGAAGTTTATTCCTTGAACAGACTTTTTATTAATGATAAGCGAACCCAAATAAAATATTTTGGTGATTTTTTCTCATTAATAGTGAAGTGAAATTTTAAGTTAATTGATTCTTTTGGGTGGTTGAATTTTATTTAGCATCCAGAGGTGTGTACATCGTTTGTATAGGAAAATGTTGGTACTGGACATTGGATTAATTAGGAATATTTAAGAAATCTAGATCAATAGTTAGATTGGCAACGTGATCACAAGACGGGAATTTTATTTTGTATTTGAAGTATACCATCAATATTTTAAATCATCAAAAATATAAAGAAACGAACGATATTATTTGCATCAATGTAATCAAACAAGCCAATTGACACGAGTATTTATTTGAGAGTGATCAAATCAAATTAATCAGGTTTTGATTTCCAGATTATAAGAGGAAATAAAGAACCAACTTTCCGCAAGGTAGGAGTAATAAAAAGTTTATTTATTACTGAGCTAGCCGTGGATTAATTGTAACAGTAAAATGTTTACTAGTGCCGTAGAGATTAAAATTTATTTGATACAAGTAAATTTCGGGCAACCAAATCCTGAAATGTGTGAAATTAATTTATTTGGTTTTTTTAAAATTAATTCATAACTATACCATCCAAATGTAATTTTGTGGGTACTTCTGTAAAGAGAAATTATGGCTTTTACAATGATGTATCACACGATTGGGGTTTGCATATTATAATTTCAAAGCGGGGAAACTGGGCAAGCGTGTGGCCGTATTTTTGGAATTTTTGTGTACTTAATCAAAATTACAAATTATAGTCGGGAATTCGTTTTGCCATAAAGATCGACGATGACCATTTACTTTCATTTTTCTAACAATTTGCACATTTTTCTGTTGTGTAAATGAAAATTTCATTTGTCCCAGTCGATTTATAAATAAAAATAACGTCATTCGATACACAAATTAAAGAGAGAGAGAGAGAGAGTAGAGAGTGCAATTTCGTTTATTACAATTTCTATGACTAAAGCGTTACCAATTTTTTTTGAACTTGCAGCCTTGCCATTCCATTGGATGAAAAGAATTGTGATCAAATGATTTTTTCCAATCCAATTGTTTTTAGGTAAAAATCCTTGAAGATTTTTTTGAAATGAAATAAAAAAGAAGCGAATGCAATGCGGTGTGACAATTTAATGAATGGTCTCTACTTGATCGATGTCAAGCTTATGTAACTCACGCGGATGAGATTGCGGTCTGGTTATATTTGGGTGCGCACTTGTTTACACTAACGCTGGTTGCATTTGGTTTATGGTATTGTGAAACGAATTTGGTCCTATGAAAAAATGTCCTTGAAAAATTAAAGTTAGTGAAGACGATGCGTCATTGTTAAATAGAATTCAAAATGCAAAATTGTTTATAAACGAATGGAAAATTACTTCCGGAGATAATGTCCGTTGCTGTAACAGTGTATTAAATTTATCTTAAAAGAAGGTAATTATATTTGCCATGACGTCTGAAAACGCTGTGAGTAATATTATAATTAGAGCGGAATTCCCATTCATGCAATTAAACCCCTCGCGTTCCGAGTTAGCTGCCGGTTAATTAAAAATACAATAATAATTTTAATGTTCAACCCAGCTCTTCAGATCACCTTGATTTGACTTAATTAATCTTATCACATTCTCATGAATATTATTTTATTATATTATAGACAATGTATTTACATTGAGTTTAATTTATACACGCCTTTAATTAGGTAGGTGCAGGTACGTACAACTGAATCGACACACGCACGTGGATTAGAAGAAACATTTTAGCATTGACTTGTGCATCAATGCTTTTTGAAAGAACCTTGTTCCATAGAAAGTCCTTCTTGGAATTACTGGAAAGCTTCTTTCAGCACAGTCAAAAGTACTCGAATGAACTGACAGGAAAGCTGAAAAAATATAGTTCCATCGTGGACACGATTTTGTTCATCTCTCAAAATTAAAACTGTTTAAAATGTGATAAACGACAATAGTATCAGTAATCAGATTGTCAAGGTGCATTTGGTTCTATCAGTGCGATGTTAATAGCATGTTCCTGGTTCTATCGCTATGCTATGAGATACCTTTTACCAAAACATTATTTTAATAGCATTTTCCAATAAAGACAACCAAGACATTGGCAGATAGAAGAATTGAATTTGATTCAATTATCTGATTTTTATCGTACAATTTGAAATGTTTTATTTGTGTATTCTCTCTTGCATTTTGTTGCTGTCGTTTATTTCAGGTATACAGGATTTTGCCTCACAGTGTTCTATCAGTTCTTCCATCTCATTACTGGGAGGTATGTTGACAGAATCTCCTGGGAGATATACTGATGCTATTACTACTTGAGCTTTACCCTGCAATAGTCGTGATAGCACCACCACACAACTGTGGCTGCAGAAGAGCTTTAAGGCGGCTAGGATCACAAATACATGTTCTAGGTTTTTCTTGTCGCGTATCAAAGAAAACGATTCCTTTTTGCCTACAGACCAGAAACCTTTGATTTAACAACCCAAAAGGTTCTTGAATGAGGGCAATGTCCTGTTTTACAGTGTAACTTATATATATTTTACCAACACTGAACACTTCAGACCAATATCACTTTCACTGGAAAAAGTAAATCGGCACTTTTTTGTTGCTTTCAATATGTAAAAACTAAAAAAAATCAGCGGACGTAGTCCCATAGAAGCATTGGTGCGAAACGGAGATAGGTGTTTAAAAATTAATGGTTCTCAGAATATTAGGAAGAAAAACACCTGCTTGATGCTAATTCGACAAATACCATTGCAATACGTGCTAAAACAACGACGTGATAAACAAACAACACAGATATTTTGAAAACATTTAAAGCAAAATGTACCTGCATGAGTAATAATATCCTGAACTGAAAACAATGATAATGAACGCGTTGACCCTGAAATTATAATAATAAATTAGGGTTAATTAATAAGGCAAGTTTAATATTTGTTGAGGCAATAAACTAACGTATATACGTTAATGCAAAATAGCTGGTCTTCAGAAGCATGAAGTTCACATGAGGAAAATCCGTGCAGAATACATCTAAATAAATTAGTTACAAGGGGATAGGGACTGATTTTGCCATTGGAAATTTTTGCTCCAAATCATATCGCAAAGGTTGCTTGAACGATCCCAAAAAGAGAGATGTCTGCAGGCGATTAACACCGGTCATGAATCAACGCCAATTATAGTTACCTCATGTGTGTCAAAGAATTATAAAACAATTATAACGTGTACAAAACTATGTACTTACGCTTAATTATAGGCTTGGGAAAAATTCAGACACACGTGCAAAATATAGATCCGGAGGAGACGCAATTTATTTTGATAGTTCTAGGATGTACAAAGCAACTTGAGCGTGGTGGTATTTGCATGAGGTTAATTGATCTTTAGATAACAATATAAATGAAAACGTACCGTTTGAAACACGTTTAGTTGTTGTTTATCTTCGGTGGGTGTGTGCTCTTTTATTGCCAAAAATGTGCTCCAAGACTATTTTGTGTGCCATCTTTGTGATATGTGTAAATGTGACGATGGGGTCGGATCGCCCTCACATTGTTTTTATTATGGCAGATGATCTTGTAAGTGCTTGTCATTAGCTTACACATTTTCTGAGATTTATCCGAAGTCAAATTTCTACCACTGTTGCTTTTTTTTTCCACTGTGCATATAATCATGATCTTGCTCTGGCAATCATTAATATTTCATAGTGATGCGCAATAATTTTCAATACTAGTTACCAATTGTTTAATTACAAGACAATATCCAGCAACTAAAAGGAGATACAATGGTTAAAGTATATTACAATATTCTTTCGGTGATGTCACTAATTGCATGTGACAATTTTTGCTTCGTTCATTCTAGTTTTCTTATTAGTTCTAAATCGTTAATTATTGTTGCTCCCATTTCACCGTCTGGTTCACTCATCAGTTACTATATCGATTACAGGCATGATGACAATGTTTAATAACTTTCATTTTTTGAAAATTTTTGATCTACCTACCTATTGCAGTCCAACAATAACTATAATGCTTTTTTAGTTTGTTTTTCACCTTTTCGTTACCTCATACTCATCAATGATTTATTCACAATTCATATTACCACCGAGATTACCACAGAAAATATAAGAGCTATTTTAGTCCTCAAAACTATTACTGGATACAGTGTATTTGTTATTTTGGGTATATTTTTTAATAAATTATCATACTTTCACAGGCTTTATAAATATTCTATTATCTATAATAAAAAATCAAACAAAAAATTACGCAAAGTACGAATCAGGTTAGCTTGCCCAAATAAAGCAAGGTATAGAATCAAACAAAAAAAAAACACAAAAAAAGGTTAAGAAAATGAAAAGCAACGAGTAACACTGACGGCATTCCTTCAAATGCCGTACATAACATTGGTCTAAATTTGAGAAATTATCTCAGCTCCAGAAAAAAAAAGAATCATTAAAATTGTATACCGTTGGCGTATTTGGTACTGACGAACATTTGGCAACAACTTCTATGGACTTTTGAAAAAATTCTAGATAAATCACTTAGTCCAGGAAATAGAGACTGAAAATGGACCATTTCCTGCAAAACGAGAAGTAGTTCCAATTTTTTTTGCATGTCATGAAAGAATATCTGGTGATTAAGAATCCAAGTTTTCGACCTCCCACCCCTTGTGCTTCCCCCGTACCACCCGTAAAACCAAAGAAATTTGGTTGGCTTTTTAGTTTTTCAATCATATATTTTTATAGGCTCATTTTACAAAAAAATATTGTTATTAGAAATTGTATACTATAAAATTCTACACAACTTTGATATACACTACATTTTTGTGAAATGTTTATTAAAAACGATATAGAGCTTGAGAGTTGGTTATATTTTTAAGAATTCTGAAATTTCTATGTAGATCTTTTAACCAAATTTTATACTTTATCTTTATAATGAAGAGTTTTATTAGAAAATATCTTGAAATCGTGGTATAAATCCCCCTACGCTGCACCCTTATCAAAGGGGATGCATCACAATTCAACTTTCAACCCTTGCTAGTGGGGATATTTTAATCACTGTGAGATTGTAGGGCTTTCTAATATACGTTTGAAACAAAAAAATTATCTCACGTCAGTTCAGCTTCATCCTTCATCCCCCCCATCCGCGGTAGGAATAGATATTTAAAGTGGAATAGAGAACGTATGTAATAAAGCGTTGTATTCTCTGACTAACTTCACAATCGCCACAAGAGCGCTACAATCTCATAGTGATTCAAATATCCTCACTAGCAAGGGTTGCAAGATTCATTATTATGCATCCCCTTAGGTAAGGGTGGAGAGTAGAGGGATTTATACCACAATAAATTCAAGATATTTTCTCATAAAACTCTTAATTATAGAGATAAAGTATGAAATTTGGTTAAAACATCTACATAGAAATTTCAGAATTCTTAAAAATATAACCAACTCTCAAGGTCTATATCTTTTTTAATAAACATTTTACAAAAAAGTAGTGTATATCAAAGTTGTGTAGAATTTTATGGTCTATAATATCTGATAACAATATTTTTTTCCAAAGTGAATCATTAAAAAGATATGATTGAAAAACTAAGAAATCTACCAAATTTTAGGGGTTTTGGGGGTGGTACGGGGGAAGCACAAGGGGTGGGAGGTCGAAAAATTAGATTCTTAACCATCAGATGATTGTCCATGACATGCAAAAGAAATTGGAACTACTTCTCATTTTGCAAGTTAAAACCCTCTATTCCCTGGACTAACTGCAAATTTTGGTATTTGTGGCCAGGTGCTGCGAATTCATCAAAACGCAGGTTATTATTTAATGTTAAGATGAAAGACTGGCCCTTTATTAATTTTCCTGTTGCACCATAAGGAATATTATCATTAATTAACTATGAGAGTAAATAGAGTAAATAAACACGTTTCATATTTAATGAGCGATCGCTTTCGACGTTTGTCATTAGACTTTTTGTCCTAGATTTATCAATATATATATTGAAGCGTAGGCAATCATAACCGCCGCTGATCTTTATGTTCTGGTAACGTATACGACTGCTATTTGAGAAGTTTTGGGACCAAATCCCGGTGACGCCTGCTCTATCTGGGCTTTTGTTTTTTTTACTTTTTTTTACAATTTTGTCAATCTAGGAAAATTACAAGTGTTTAAATCCTAAATAGTTAATTAAAAAATTACGTCAGCAAGGGGTGACACTCCACTTTCAACCCACAGGGTGACCGCTCTATATTTCTCATAACACCTGAATATCCACTTTTTCCTTACCAATAATTACCACTTCGTAAGCAAATCTCATTATTAATTAAGGTAATTTTTTTCGGAGAATCTGAATTTATTATCAGAATTTCCATAACACTCCAGATGTAGAAGCTGCAGGCTACTATTGTCTTTATCTACTGAGCGCCATATTGGATTTTTACGGAGTGAGATAGATGAAAAAAAAGAAAAATAATGACGTGTCACACTCTATACTTTTACATACATTTACAAGAAAATTCGAAATAAAAAGTTTTACATTCATTTCTCAACAAATTATCCACGGGTAACTAGATCTTACTGAATCAACATAGCTATGATGGCAATGGAATCAAATTAATTTCTTTTTTTGTCTTCTATTTCATTCCGTAGAAATTCGATGTGTCGTCCATAAGAACTAATAAAGTAGTAACCTGTAGCTTTTACGTCTAGTGTGCCTAGTAGCGTGCTATGGAAATTCTGATAACAGCTTCAGATTCTTTGAAAAAAAGTGACCATAGAAGGTGCGAACGGGAACCGTCAATTTTCGAACGTTTCAGCTAGGGGGAATAAAAACGAAACTTGGCATTTTCAGTTTTTCGGTGATATCTCAGTCATTTTCAAATATTTTTCAAAAATTTCAAAAGCGGTTTTTTTTAATCACAAAAAGGGGCATTTAACCTACACTGGTATCTTACCTTTACAGAGATCCCAATCGTGAGCCACGTATTTGAACCACCTCGTACAGCGGGATATCTTAAAATTTCTTCGAGTCATCGAATTCGACAAATTCTTCAAATTCCTGCAACTCTCGAAATCCTTAGTTTCTTTAGATTTTTTTAAGGATTATTCTAGTTTTTTACGTCCTTTGGACTGTTCCTATACTCTGTTATTAATCCCTTATCTTCAGGATTTTGCCCATTTTAGGTTTCATGTTCTTCAATCCTATCCCAGCCTATTCGGATGCATCGGAATTTGTGTGATCCTTTCGGTTCTTTGCATTCTTTGCAATTTGAATTCCTTTGTTCATCTGTAGTGGCCACATTTCTTCTGTTAATACGATAGAGCTCATTCAATTTCTTCTGAAACAATTCTTTAATTTTACATTTTTAGATTTATACATTTCTCCAATTCTTAAAATTCAGTTTTTTTCGTTTCTTCAGGTTTTTCAAATTATTTCTATTCTGCATTACATCCCTATTTTTAGTTTGCTTAGTTTGCGTTCAAAAAGTTTTTAAGATTTGCATGATTTTTCAGTTTCTTCGAATATTCTTCCAGTTTTTAGATTCTTCCTTTTTTTATACCCACAAAATTTTTCAGAATCAATCGTCACTTTTACCTATGACCATTCTGATTTTTCCACTCCGTTGTATTATTCCAGTTCTTCAAATTCTTATAGTTATTTTAATTATATCCTTTCGATTTTAGGGTACCTTCCGTTTTTCCTCTTTCCATAGTGCCTAATTTATTTCTTTCCATTTTTCATTTTAATGGGTGAAATTGGTTCCATGAATGTTGCAAACAGGACATCACTTATTGACAACGTGACCATGTCAATATAGGCCGATTTAAGCACACTTTTATTGAGTGATTGTGGATTATGGCCCAGTGCCCAGGTCACTATCCTGCGTTATCGATTGATCGATTTCTGGGGTGTGCTTCAAGGGACTTTCACTTCTCAAGAGATCTGAAGCATCATGTGTGACGTGGGCATTTGAAAGTCAACTTTTTCGGACGGTATATTCAGAACAAATTATAGGTAATTACGATTCACGTGGTTTCGTGCATGTTAATTTAATTTATACATGGTAAGCCACTATTTAAAATTAAGTGTACTCATTTACATAGATACGTAAAATTGGTGAATGAAATTTCAGCAATGATTGAAATCTTGCCCATTAGTTAGAATATACGGCAAGTTCTGTTGATAAACTTTAATCCAATAACCTAGCTAGTATATCATTTCAGGTGAGGTTTGTAGGTTTCTTTTTTTAGCGCATGAACGCCATCGTCCGCATTTTGTCCGTCTGTCTGTTCGTCTGTAACTACTAGCTTTTTCGTTGTGGTTTTTTTCTTACACGGTCTAGCACAACCCCGACAGCAGAACGCCAAAATTTTTTTTGGATTAGTCACTTCCTTCCAGGCCTTCCCTAGTTATACTGATTCTGTGCGGGGAAAATGTGCTTTATTCGGTCGCGAGTGACGTTTTAAACTTGTTTTTCTTGTACATCAACGTGGCTAAGTAGACCTCCGGGTCACTTTAGAATATCCCAAAAACTGTAATATTTTTGCACTTTTTTCGTTTTTTTCCTATTTTGACCATGAAGGAGCACATTTCCAACAAAGATCATTCCATACATTTTTTAACTAGATTAAATTTGCCCCACTCGCAATTGAAAACAGAATTAAAGTCAGGCCTTATTTGTGAATGATGCCATTAAGTTTTTTAAAACCGGGTAAAATTTGAAAATGGGCTGCAATTTGGATCCCCTTTTGATGCAAATTGGACATACCTATTCGGACACATTTTTGTTAACTCCGGCAAGCAGATATATTCTAGGTTTGATTTTTTGCATACTTTGTTTGATGCTTTTATGTTATCTGATCTATTCAACTGCTTAGACCGGACGGCAACTATACAAGGTGTAACAATTAGCTATTGCGTCCGAAATAATTTACTACATGGGATCAAAACGATAATTTTTCCAAATAAACTGAAAGTACAAAATGCTTCTTTGGAGACGACAACCCCAAAAGTCCTAAAATGTTTGTTTTTCCTTTCATTCAGGAACCATACCAATAGGAGGGTGGAATTTTTCGCTTTAGCTCTTAGAACAAAGCAGAGAAAGCAAAAACCGGTTTCATTATAAAACATTAATTAAAGGAATATTGAGTATTTTTTTCGTTCTCCGTACCTACCATCTGTGGCTGACGAATACTGCGTGTGCATTGTCGTCTTCCAACCCGCAGTGCACGCACTCTTCCGTGGGTAGTGTCATAGTGTGTAGTTAACCTCTCCATGTTTTCAGTTAGCCCACTGCTTGGTATCCGGTATTATGGTATTAGTCCATAATTTTCTTGTGTCCCATTCCCTCCGCCACTTGTCTATCGCTTCTGCTTTGGATTACTTATTTGCCCTTGCATTCTCATATGCGCTAGGGGGCAATCACAAGAACGTCCTCCTGCGTGCGCCTTTCAATAGGCGTTTGCGATTCTCAAGAAAAGCGTTTTTTCTGTACTCTATTAAGAATGGCTCTTTCCACACCACACCCCATCTCATTGCTGGCTCTCAAACGTCTACTGCGTATAGGTAGACCAATTGGGTGGCACTACAGAGCATTAGGCGATGGATTCTCGCGCTCCACTTTTATTTAGCATTGTCCTCGTGAGGGCCGAGAGGTTCTTCATGGCTTTTTCGGCTAGGCTACGTGTGTAGTCGATTAATGTACCGTTTTTATCCAGTACCTATGCCTCTTAGTATTTTGAAGTTTTTTCCCAACAATTCTATGGTCGGTCTGGCAAGGCGTATCCGCCCAGTTAGCAATGATACCTCTGCGTCTTCTCAGGGACGAGCTTCTATCCTCCACTTCACTCCTCCGTATAAGCTCTTCATAGTTTTGTGTCGGTGAGCTGCAAACCTCTATCCTTGGCAACTACGGTTAGGTTGTCAGCAAACTTTACTATTATTGTGCTTTCCAACATCTGGACTCTAAGAGAGCCGTCATATGCGACACGAGGCCAAACGCGGAGCCCTGTGGTACCCCAAGCGGTTGAAATTAACTTGTGTTCTTTGCCCTCTAGGTCGGATGATATAAATAACTTTCCCATCTTGAAGATAGTTGTGTGACATTTGGGCCAGGTCGGGAGGTACCCCGATTTCCTCTAGTTCCCCTCTGGATAGCTTCCCTGTTTATCGTATTAAAGGAGTTCTCTACCTCTATTTCCCCTTCCTGAATCTAAACTGTATTAGGGAAAGTTATTGGTACACCGTTCCTTGCAGCATGTGCTTAATTATTTCCTCTAGTATTTTGCCCATAAAGGAGGCAGGTAAGTCTAAAGTTACCAGTGGTTTTAGATCTGTACTCTTTTCATAACCCCGGAAAGTGCCTTTCTTTCAGATGAGTGTTATCCAGGGTGTTACCTATACATTTGCTTAGGATCTCTGGTCTCTGTTGAGTTAGATGCTTACCACCTTAGTAGTTTACACACCTACTTAGTATTTTGTGTATGACCTGTATCTACTGACATATCATCTACTCATGCCTAGTGCCTTCATATTACCGTTGTACTTCGTTATTCAATAATATTAATATACGTCTTTCGCTATAGAAACCGTTGCACGTCATTGATTTGTGTATCAATTTTAGACATATGCTGCAACACTGCAACATGTACAAAAAAAACAAGTGTGCGAAATCTATAGAAAACTTGTCTGAAATTGATTCATAAATCAATGACGTGCACCGGTTTTTATAGCGAAAGACGTATATTACATAATAAATACCATGACGTAATATCCTATTTTTCACTCAACGGCAATTTACTACAACGCTTTATCTATAATATCTAAAGGGCATTTCAGAGGGAGAGAGATTTCAGAGGGAGAGAGATTTCAGAGTATTTAAGGGAATTAAAAGGCTTTTAGAGACCAAATTAGGATTCTTCAGACTTAAAGACCTTTGAGAGCACGTAAAGGTATTTATGGTTCACAAACATATTTAAAAATCTTCTTCGCAAACTTCAACTGCGATTAGGCATTTATTAATATTTAAAAGCCTTCATAGATCACCTTGTTTCAATGAGTTCCCTAAGATGCCTTATGGCTCATTTGTAGTGTAAACCTTTAGGAGCTTTTGAGAGTCCTTAAGGGTTTTTAAGATGTTTGAATAACCTTTAAAAGCAATGAATATACTAATCTTGAAGTGGAGAGCCTTTAGATCCATAATCTATAAGGGTGTAGCGGGATCTTCGTTACACAAACTAAATTTGTGTATGCTGATTTTAAATAAGGTTTCAATTAATTTTATTTTACTTATAGCAGATTACATTTTAATAGGTTTGAATAGGTAGGCTAAGTGTCTTTCTAACCGCAAGGATAGATAAAGTGATCATTTTAACCGCAAGGGTATATCTTATTAAATATAGGACGCAGAGCACGATACAAAATGAAGTTCAGAACAGAATACAATATTGTTTCGATGGAAATGACGGGAGAACCTAAACTTGCTACTTTGGATGTCTAAATTAAATATCTACAGAATTTTCAGAAGCTTTTTAATGATTTCTACAGTTTTTGCTTTAAAATTAAATACTACTGGCAGTTTACACTTAAAAATTCGTTAATGTTTAGGTATATTGGATTATTTTAACTTAACACCAAATTACTGTTCGATCATTTGACGTCGCTATTACAGTGTCGCACAAAAACAATTACCCGGCGCCAAGGTACCCGTACGAATTCTTCAAAAACAAATTAACACTCCTCTATTTAAGTGTCGTTTAAAACTTAACTCTGTCTATAGAGGCTATTACTCTTCAAAGATCTATGAGTTACTAAGTGATTTCACGAATATAAGGGTCTTCTAGAGGCTTTGCCAAACCCATACCTGGAATTTAGAATTTTCAGGTGTCTTTGAAAATCGTTAAGAGCCTAAGTCACCCAAAGACTTTGTGAGTTCCAATGGACTAGATTATTAAAGCGTCTTGATTGGTGCTCGTCGCTTGCTAGCTTTTATTAGTCTTTAGGAACTTTCAAGAAGATTTAAGGGTCATTTAAAGTAATTGGGATATTTCTAGACTATCAGGTCGTTCTAAAGAAGTGCCTTCACGAGACCTTTACGAATTGTAGCAGCAGGGTCTTCAAAAGTCTGCCATGCCAAAAATAATTGGGCAATACAGTCTAATACTGAAAACTGGCTCTGTGATATTGCAGTACCAAGGTGTTGATCTATGTATAAAACGAGCTGGCACAAACGATCGGTCCTCACCATGAAAAGAAGCGCGAAAATATGATACTTAGTTGAAGGGCCGCAAATTTGGGCCAGACAATTACCCGAAAAGCGCAATTGCGCATTGTTGCGCAAACAATTTAATTGTTGCATCAAGTAACGAGCTTCTTATGGATTTTGTTAATAATCACAATGCGTAGTAGTAGTCATGAAAGTCACAAGACATATATCCTAATGTGGTCTGCTTCACTTAGTCACAACACGTTCTGGCGAATTTCTTTACACACGTGTTTTTTGATCATCGGACTTTTTCAGCCTCTGAACCTAACACAGATGATATACATGTTTCCAGGGTTGGAACGATGTCGGTTTTCACGGAAGCGATCAAATTCCCACACCAAACATTGATGTGTTAGCATACAATGGTATTATTCTCAACCAGTACTACTCTCAACCACAATCCACAGCATCAAGGGCAGCTTTATTAACAGGGACCTACCCCATAAGAATGGGTAGGAATCACCTATGAGTGAGTTGAGGTCAACATTGAGTATATTAAGTGTGATTTTAGGATTAAATGGCAAGCCATTAACGGCCGCACAACCTGCGTCTATTCCAGCAATGAAACTTATGCCGGAATACTTTAAGGTAAGACAATGGCTTCCGGTTAGTGGCCATCTGCTTTTTTAGTTAAATCATGATCACTGTTTCAATTTGTTCCAGGAACTTGGTTATACTACGCATCTTGTGGGAAAATGGGGTGTCGGTTACGAAAGATGGAATAGTACTCCAACTTACAGAGGTTTCGACAGCTTCTTTGGTTTTTATAACGAGTTCACGAGCTATTACGATTACTTATCAACGTGGACGGTAAGATCCCGACTGTTTGTACTTTATTTGTACGAATTCTTGCTTTCAGTTGAAAAATACCAGTTACACCGGCTTCGACTTACGTAAGGGAACAGAACCAGCGTGGGAGTTTGCAGGGCAATACGCAACCGATGTATTTACGGACTATAGCGTAAAACTAATACAAAATCATGACCCCAATCTACCACTATTTATGATTCTGTCTCATTTAGCAGTTCATTCTGCTAATGAAGGTAAACTACTGGAGGCCCCCCAGGAGGCAATAAACAAATTTAAACACGTATATGATTCCAACAGAAGAACTTACGCAGGTATTACTTGGTGGTTTTTCGACATGTTTTGGAAAAGTGTGCCTTTTAGCAATGGTTTCAAAATTAGACGACAGTGTCGGTTTAATTGTCGACGCATTGGAAAAGAAGGGTATGCTGCAGAACAGCGTAATAGTGTTCGTCTCAGACAACGGTGCACCAACAATTGGTCGATTTCGAAATTGGGGTTCCAACTATCCACTTAGAGGCATCAAAAGTACACTTTTCGAAGGCGGTGTCAGAGCTGTAGGATTTTTGTGGAGTCCACTACTGGTGCAAAGTCAAAGGGTGTCTAGCGAACTGATACATGTTACTGACTGGATGCCAACGTTGTATTCGGCAGCAGGAGGAGACATTTCCTTATTAGATCCCAATATGGACGGGTTGGATCAGTGGTCTAGTCTGGTTTACGATTTGTCATCTCCAAGGACGGACATGTTAATTAATATTAACGATCAGGAAAGAGCGGCTGCGTTGCGGTTTCATAACTGGAAGTTAGTACTTGGTAGGTAGTTTGGAGTAAGTGCTTAGCTGATATGTTTCCTTGTAGGTGCACCGATCCATCCAGGTTTTGACGATCACATCGGTGATTCGGGGAAAGGGATTCTATATGAAGTTAAATACAATACTTCAAATGTTTACAACAGCCCGGCTGGTATAAGTATAGCGAAAGTGAGTTATACAATAACAGCAGCTGAAGAATATAGACTTTTAAGAGGTCAAGCTATCGTTAGGTGCGCCAACCACAGAGGGAAAGCAAATCCTTGTGATCTCGAAAGTAAGAAAACCGTTTTTGATTATTACGTTTTTGTACTCAAATTGATAAACGGAAAATTATAGAATTATTATTTAAGCGGAAAGTGACAGATAGACAAGGTAAAACTTTATGAAAAGGTGGCAAGGTGCCGGGAAACTCAAAACAAATGTAGATTTTTACGTTCAGTTTGGGCAAATATAAGAAAATTACCTTGAGATGCCACGGTAAGCTCAGGCAAAGTACAGGTGGGCTGGGGTGAATTTCGGAGTTCTTGTACACTAGCAAAAATAAACAAAATGGAAAATGTAGTACCTAATAGTAAACCGGATAGGCGCCACTTAGCCTTTAGTAAATGTCAAAAGAGAGGGGGAGTACAGGGGGAGGGGCATGGTAGGCTAGGTAACCGGCCCGTGTGGCGGAGTTGAACTCCGCTGCGATACTAAGGGTCCCTGGTCCGAATCGTTGCCACCGAGAATACACCAAATCCGGGTTCGGGCATTCATATTTGTAAATGTATAGTGGGTTGGGTTGGTAGAGCAGCCTTGGCTGAAACCCGCTCACTCAAAAATAAATCCTAAATAAATAAAGAGAATTAAGAAAACCTTTGAATTCTGGTGGTAGCGGCCGTCTGAATTCAGAAGGGCGCGTTATGCAAATCTTTAACACAGCGATTCTCACCCTTTTTGTAATCGCGACCCCCTATTTTCTGGGTCTGATGACCGCGACCCCCTAGTACTTAATCCTATTGTAAATTTCATTGAGGAACCCAGTTAAATGAACTACACGCTAAACTAAATATTTTTTATTTATTGTTAGCGAGTTGAATACATATGAACCAGAATGACGTTATGAGTGACCCCCCCCCTAACTCCCCAGCTCCCCCTCTTTAAAAATCCTAAATGGCAACCCCCATATGTGTGACACATCATTGGAAAGCTGAAAAATGCTTTCCAGTGGTTCCAATAAAGTCAATATTCATTAAGACAATTTAACAAAAAATTAATAATTAACAAAAAAAACTAAATGTTGACATGAGCGATTTATGTTGTTATTGTCTTTAGCACTTCCAGATTTCGTTAAAAATCCAAACAGATTTGATTGCTTGCTCATTTTGAAACTAAATAAATTAACCACATCACACATATAAAGTTATGGGCAAATTGAAGCGATGTGCTCGACAACAGGCGAGTTCGTGTGGTATCACTACCATACCAGGCGTCTCGGAATCGGAAGTCCCCGCGGTTGTAGCTGACTATGTAAGTTTTAATTACTACCAAACGACGATTCCGTCACGACTTTCTTATGCACTTTGCGTTTTGTTGAATTCGGAATTGAAATTGAAATTATCTTGCCTGTCCTGTACCTACCGTGACCCTCAAATATCTACGCGCGACCCCCAGGTTGGGAATCGCTGCTTTAACAGATCATAACACAAACAAACAAATAAAAGGGGTAGTGAATCGCACTACAGATAAAATATTGCGGAATAGCAATGCTATCGTCTCACACGGAGGTGAACTGGAATTAATACTTAATAATAATCAATAATTGGAATAACTAGACTTGTAAAAGCAAAATTTTGATCAACTACGGGTTATCCTTCCAATCGCCGGGGTATAAAAGCATAAACAATATGCTACATTCAAGAAAAGTACCTTACGGTACACAAATAACTAAATTTCTATTGATCTAATCAATTCAAAACATAAAGACAATAATATGACTCGATTCTTAGGAGTAAAATAAATAACAGACAAGACTCAAAAACTTGTTTACAAAGCAACGGTAGCTACTATCGGTAAACCAATAAGGGATATAAAGCTATTACAAATGAATTCTCGGAGTCACACAAAAAGTAATTGTAGGTAATGTAGCTCAAATCGGGTCCCGATAAGTATATTATTCAGCAACGGCACACGAGTTTAAATAAAATCAGAGATATCGAAGCAATATACGCGAGTAATGTTCTCTAAACGGTTCGTTTATACTTGTGATTACAACTTACGAACAACTATCGAAACGTAGGTCACAACCTTTGTGTGTAAGTAGGTCACAAGTAATAGTTGGTAGAATTGAAGTAGAATTTTTTCAGCCGTTAATGTAGAAACTCATCTATCGATTGACGCGCCAAAACCAATGTATAATAAAATAATAAAATGTTGTCTCCACGTACTGCGTAGATAATGCGTAATAACCACGTAGATCAACGTAAAAGGTAATCCAAAAGAAAGACCGATGAGAACTTAAAAGAAAATTTTAAGCAAAGGGCGAGAGTGAGAGTTGAGTGAATGTAAAGCTTTAGGCACGTATTGTTCATATGCAAATACAGATCCGTAAAAGCGTTTCAATGAAGCCACCACAGACATCAAGAGAAGGAAAAAACCACTCCAAAAATAAATAAGGTAAAGCCAAAACACTAAGCCATTTTTAGGCAAGATACGAAGTCAGAATAGCAATGGCGTACCAAAAAACATTTGCAACTACAACTGTACGCAAGCATAGAGAAAAAAAGAATTAAGTGCAGAAAGGTACAAAGCGCGAATTCTAGCAACAAGTCAAAGAAGTAAGTAAAAGGAAACCTCTAATACTAGGACAGCCTCTAATGGCGACAGGAGGGGCTAAGTGAAAGATAATAACAAATTTACTATAGGAATTAACTTACATCTAAAATATGGTTAATGAATTGCTCCATTTTTTAGAGCTCGGTGGGGTTATAATTATAGGATGTAGGATTTTTCGAACAATAAACGTTTATTATTTTTTCTATGGCGATTTTTCTATTGCGATGGGATATAAATACCCGAAATCGATCGCCATAGAAAAAATAATAAACGTTTGTTCGAAAAATCCTACATCTTATTTATTATTACGTCTAAAACTAGTGGACTACAAACGGAACACCTAGATGGCAAATAACGTAACAACATACAAGGTGAAAGAACAGAGAGGGAACAATAAGCTTACTGTAGTTATTGTTTTTTTGCGAATAACTAACAAAATATTAATGAAAATGGTGTAGGAAGGGAATACTTGGTTCTGCTGAAGGCAATTTATTAGGGCTCACGATAGGCGGTATATAACTAATCGGGTTATTCTTTTTTGTTTTTTTTTGGAAAATTAACAAGATTTTAATGGGATTTGACGGGATGACAAACACCTGGTTTCTGCTGAAAGTTGTAGGTATTAAATTTACTTAAACTTGCATGAAAAAGCGGGTTTGCAGATTTTTAAATCAGGATAGTATTCCAGGAATTTGGTAAATTATGTGCAGAGTCGCCGTCCAATTAGAAATACAATTCCAATTGCACTGAATGCCTGAATATCGTTCCAGAAGCTGAGTGACAAAACCGACCTAGGTGTCGTTGGCCTCTTGTTGGGCTGAGATCATGTATGATGTTTGCGGCTATTAAGTATAAAATAAGAAGTCCACGGAAAATATTAATGTGAAGTGAAAAAGGCCCATTAGCATTGTTTGTAAGCAGAAAAGAGACACCTTCCCCGCCACTTTTTGTGACCCAACAGATCCAATGGATCTAAGATTTTTGCTATTGTTGACAATATACGCCTCTTTGTTACTACAGCATCATCATCGTTAAGTGAGAAGAAGATTGAATCGCTGCTGTTGCATCATGATACTCCTATGTGCTTCGTATCTTTCCTTTCAATCACCAAATGTGGTTCGTTCGGCGTAGTCGCTAAGGCGGAGTTGTCATCTGACTGACCATTTCCGTAGTTGAAGTCCTGCTTCAAGAACAATGATGTGTTGCTGGATACTGATGTGCTTTTCCAACTCGTTGTCGTTGCCTCGTTGTAGGTCATATAATTATGTCTTTGCAAATTGAACGTGTAGATTCTCGTTGACGTTTGCCAATTGTCTGACACGGAATGTTGGTTCGGTCAAATGGAGGTTTTCTGGAATATTCAGCCGCTCAGTTGCGATCTTGGTTGCGATTGAAAAATTGCATCGGCTTTTAATAATGGATTTTCCAGAGGTGATGCCAAAAAGAAACGTTTACCGCAGTTTCAACGAAATCTAACAGAGCTCTGCAGTTGACAGTTATACGTTTGCTCTTTAGAACGACAGCCACAGTACTGAGGATGGCCTGATGTTACAAGCTACGTTGCTACTCATTTGCTATAGGGCTGCAGTAGAGGGAGACTCATCTACTCGTAATTTCGAGCAGATTCTGACTTATGGAGTAAGAAGTTGTGTTTCCTGTGGCAGAACTGGCAATCCCGACTTGACCAATTCTTTGCTGCATGGTTGGGATTGAAGTAATTGGCGCAAAGGGAAAGACGTTTGAATGTCCTCCCTTGCATGAATAGCATTTCGGAACTTGCTTGAATATTTGGCCTACTTTTGGAATCCCCTTGCCCTTACTGGATTCTTCCTTCTCCTTAATCTCAATATGTTCCAGGAAAATAGCCCTCTTTTGAAAAAAGTTGAGAAATTCATCGAGTGTTGGAAACTTGTCGTCTTCTTTAGTGTAGAACCTATCCCCTTCCTTTAGAGTATCACTCTCAAGTTTATCGCTGATGATGGTTGTGTGAATAGAGCTCCAGAGATTATTTCAAATTCTAAAATTTTGCTGCCGCCGTCTGAAGCACTCTCTGACAATATGTCAACGTGAAAGAAAAGTTTATTGCAACAAACAGAAATCGAAACGAATGGAAGTTTCATAACTTTTGGTTTAAACGAACTAATTATAAGAAGTGTCCGCATCCTCTGTCGACAGCCTCAATTCCGTATTTAATTCCTCTTTCTTCTGCCCACTTACAAGCAAATTAAGTTACCAACAAATTAAGTTAAAAAGAAACTTGAACGTTACTACCTAAATCTGTTCGCTTGTTCGTATCTATTACATCAAATTATAGAAACTTTGTAATCAAATGAACGATGAAATTCCCTGAAATGCAAATTCCGCTACATATTGTCAACCACTTTGAAAGAATATGTGCTAACAAATCTGATTAACTGCATAAGGAACGTGCCTGAGATTATGAATTAGATTGTGTTGGAATACAGATTTCAGCACTTACTAAAGTATAATCTCTCCGTAATTGCTGATATTTCAATTTATCTCACGCGAGATACTCGTATGAAAATCGGCTCAATTCCGTATTTACCTCAAGCGTGACGGGTGTGTTGTGGATCAACTCCAAACTTTAAAATGTGCTTTATACAGAGCTAAAGCGGAGAGGACTAGAAAATTAAATTGAATCTCAAGTTATTTAGATAACAACTCCCCAGAAATTAATCATAAAATTTGCCGGTAAATTGGACTGAATGTCAGTTCGACCTTATAGATAAAATTCAGTGTCTGTGCACGTTGGAAAATCTGACAATTCTGCACAATCACTTTTATTGACTGTGACCGATGGAATGACAATTGGTAGAGACATACAACAGATTGGGCTTTTTATTTATTGCAAGCTATTGACTTAGATTTGTGACACTTTCTAAATGCAAAGCAGATCACCCTTGCGTAGTAGTCTAGTTTCTAATAATTAAACTTACAATGTTTTCTTCCACAGGCGGTGAGGTGTGCCTATACGACATACTTAGAGATCCTTGCGAAGAGAACAACCTGGCGAAATACTTTCCGAATGTAGTGCGAAGCATGAAACGAGCTTTAGTGGAGTACAAATCAGGCGCGGTGCCTCTTGTTAGCAAGGAACCGGACATAGAAAGGGCCGACCCCAAACTTTTCCAATACACTTGGAATCCGTGGCTTGATTGTGCCGATGCGACTTGTAAAGTGTAAATGAATATGTACATAAATTCTTGTAATCCTTTTGATAATTTAATGCAAAGTGGGGTAGTTGTTTTAACCAATTTTCTATGATGACGCTATACTATCGTATTAATTAGGAATAAAATTGTTGTTCTTAATAAAATGTGCTCACGAAATTGTTTGTAAACCCGTATGATACTAAATTGTTACTAAATTATATTTGACGTGCCTATTATATTACCGTTATTATTTTTTAGTCACCTTTACATACCTTCTGATATCCCCTCTCTCAGTAGTTACTCAGATTTCTCTGGATGTTTGAATACTGCTGCGTAATATTGTTGCTATATCTACCTTTATGGCTTTTATTTATAATGATAACACATTGTAGGATGATCAAGTTTGGAGATGTTTTCTGTGTGCAAATTTTTATTGGTAAAAATTGTTTTGATTAAGTCATTCTTTTCTGTATTTCTATGTAAAACAATAGTTGATGAACAGAAAACATCTACAAACTTGATCATCTTACAATGTATTATCATTTTAAATAAAAGCCATAAAGGTAGATATAGCAATAATATGATGATAACGAAACTCCTAAACTTCTAAATATGCAACAGATTAATACTTCTTTGGACAATAGATCTTAAAGTTATCCAAATAATTTAACGAAATACATGAATACAACTAACCTTTATTTACAATTTTTCTTGGAACTGGACGCTCTTACTACTAACGGTTCTACTCGTCAATTTGGAGTTGATATCAAATGTTTTCTAAAAAACTGCATACTTAACCCTGCCGTTATTCAAAATCTCCCGACGATAATTTGCTGGGTCGGAATTTGAAGATCTAACGGACAATAAAAGTCTGCTCACAATGTTGATTTGTTTGTTGGTCCAAAAAACTACGTTTTGCATACGTACTCACATTAACTTGTCTTTATTACGGTTTAACATAAATTCGGAGACATCCATTAGGTAAGCGGATGCATTAAGTCGCCTATTATACAGCGGCGTTAATATTGAACTTTATTTTTATTTGATTTTATTTTTTATTTGCCTATTATATGCCAATTATATCTGTCATATGGGATATATAAAGCAGTCTATGACGCCCGAGGGCATAATGGATTGTCATTTCATTAAGCCCTCAAACGGCCTGTCAAATACATTGACGGGAGTTATATTCTGCAATAAAAAAAGTTGCTACTTGATATAAAGTTGGCAAACAATAATCATTACATTTTTATATTTATTTATTTTATATTATTTGGATCGATGAAAAATAAAATTTTGTATGCACCTCAGGCTTTACTCGATATTTAACCCTCGGGCGACTTACAATCCGCTCTATCGCCCTCGGCATAAATATCGCCTTAATGCCCTTGATACATAAATAAATTACGAACTGTTTCCTTTGTTGTAATTCCGTTCGTCGAATGAATTAATTTCATCTCCCTTTTACTGTATTATTAAACTGGCCAAATGCGAGGTAAAGTTTGTAAAGAATTTGCTTGCTACTACGATCGTTTAGAATTGCGAGCGATGTGTTTTTTTTTATTGAATAGATACGGCACGGTTGCGAGTTTTTCGAACTCATACAGTTAAGTTGCCATCATCCATTTTTATCTCTGACGATTGGATTAATTAAATTGGAGATTCCGCAGTAATTAGGACGGATTCACCTATAAACTCCAAAACTGAGGATTTTAATTGTGTTTGCCTTTCTTATCGTAAGTACCTCCATTTGCATTTCCCGTAATTGAAGTGTAACATTCTTTAGGTTCGGCTGATATTTGTGTACTACAATTTTGCATCAACAATAAATTGGTGCTCCATCTACGATTAGTCCTCTAAATTAAGAGGAATGCACATTTTATAACATCAACGAAGAGAGTTACCTGTGATTTGCCTTTAGATCTATAATTATTCAATGTTAAATTGTATTCGAATTGTCGAAGCTGCAAATTTCAGCCCTAGAAAACCGTTCGTTACTTTTTTTCAGGAAAATAGAGTTAAATGTAAATCAAGTCATAATTAGACATATTAATCTGTGCTTCTGGAGTCGTCTGCGCTCTAAAATTAAAATTTGCGTTCGCTCAAATCCACCATTCGACCCTACTCGAAAACGTTTCACTCAGTCTACAATTTGTGAGGTTACTCTTCAAGTTTTGGAAGTGTTAACAGATTTGCAGTCTGAATAAGGACTCAACTTAAAAAAAACGACATAAAAGTTGTTAGCGTTTCCACTCTGAAACTTTTGAAGCATTACTTTGTTAAATGTTAGGTAAGCACATTTCCGATAATGGCATCATTATTACAAACATCATTAACGGTGAGGATGTTTGAAGAGGACTACAAATGTAGGCAAATTCAGTCACAATATCCGTTCTATCTCTGTAATTCTGTACAGCGTACGTAAGAAATCAGCAAATTGATTAATTCCATTTTAATGGCCATATAATTGAAGGAAAATTACTGTGTCAAGTAGGTTTCACTCGTTTATCGACTGTTCGGCACATTGAGGTCTAGGTTAAATCGAGAAAGGAAAGCTAAGTGCCTGAGAGGAACGGGACGAACAAGCCCAAAGTGAAGCGCTCTTGAAAATATTATACTTCAGCAATATTTAAATTGCTTATTCGCTTTGAATCTAAACGGCAAATCGACATTTGCATCAATGATTAGTAAAACACTACAATTAGCGGGTTTCCTGAGCTGCCAAAATTTCAATTTGGCGGACTTTATAGGGGAAATGTAGCGAGTTTCTCGGTCCGCAATGCTGTACTGAATCGGATTTCAACGTAAACTATTTACTCAATACCAATTTCGATGCTCTTGGAAACCCTATTACGGCCAAGCTATTATTTAACAAGTACGTGGAGCATTTCACTTGATAAATCCGCCGTAATTAATACCCCACTAATATGTACTTACAATCTACTATATAAACTTAATACGATGAACATCTGATTATCTCATTTTTGGTGCATCTTTGTTAAAGTATATAGTTAAAGTTCAAAGAAAATTTAGTTGAGAACACCCCTCAGCTCAGACACCTGGTATACGAAGTCCGAAAATTAAAACTACAAACGGAAACAAGCTATTCAAATAATGAAATGGAAATGAAATGAAGAGGAAGTAAGTAATGGAAGCAGGACAAGAAAAATAAAATTAATGGCGTAACGGAACGCCCGTTTTTCTAACCCTCCAGAGAACAACCGACGAAAGGGAGAATAGTCAGCGCCGGCTTCAAACATAAACTGTTCATTTGTTGATTTTTGTTTGAGTGTATATCAATCCCCTCCACCGCCCCTTAAAAACCCGCTGCAACGTATACTTACGATGAAACAGAACCTGACGTAATTGCAAAAAAAAGTTTGTTCATTGGAATTAAAGTGACAATAAAGTTGAAGTGAAACAAGGCAGGAATAAAGAATGTAGAAGCAAAAAGTACCAGAAAATTATGGAAATATGAAAGAAACAATTGGAAATTGAAGAAAGGAAATAGAAGAAAATCATAGAAAGCAAATTTATGATTCTTGAACAAATTGAATCGAAACATGAGAAGTCTTTAAATGGAAAAGCACCACTTTGCAAAATTATAAAGGTTAAGTAAATTGAAGGACCATTTGAGTAAAACGAAAAGTAATTAGAAAAATAGTAGTCGAAAGTTGGGAAGAAGAGGTAGAGTGGTGATTTACACACATTGACACTTCTCTTACATGTCATATTATTGTATCTTTTTTTAGGAATTTTAGCTAAAATAAATTCGTGGCCACATTCTCTGGAACTACCCTTACTTCAATATCAAAGACAAGTACAACAGTACACCTTATAACTAATCAAATTCAACTTATTGGATGGATATTTTCTTAGATGAACCTTAATCAACTATAGTTTACGAAAATTTAAAGATAAGCAACCCTTAAGTTTACATAAATGAAAGTCATTGCACCTCACATCAAGGTGTTTTTTGGCAGACGACCATTTCCATACAATAACAGACTTGATACGATTCTCCTATGATAATAAAGATAATATTTCGGAAATTAACGAATGGGAACTGCCAATGGGATCTTAGTGACGGCTACCTATACTTCTTTGAATTCTCTGTTAATTAATGGACGTAATTTCGCCGGCATTGAACTTCTGTGGTTATTAATTGCAAACAAACTGTTATTTTAACGGTTCTGGACCGAATTTTATTGTATTTTGCTCGTAGATGGTTTAAATTTGAAATTTTTTATGATTTGGCCTTATGATAGTCAAAAAATAAATACTTTTAGCCTAGCGATTCTAGAGCGAATTCTCTCGCTGTGACCGGAGTCGTTACTCTACCTTATGTGGGTACTTATCACGTGGTCGCTTATTTGCAAATTCTCCTAAGCTGCTCAAACCGTAATGGCTTAAAAAATCTCATCCAATTAATCCCTACCTATCTTTTTCGAATTAATTAAAGCCCCTTCATGGCACCTGGTAATTAAGTAATATTGTTTAAAGTATTTCGGATTTGGACTCCCCTTGGCCTATACAGATACAAGCGAATGCCTTTCGGCCTAAGGAATGCGCTCGCAACCTTTCAATGTCTGAAAAATTCCTATACACTCTGAAGATCCCTTCATATACAGAAAAATCTAAATCTTGTAATTATAATTCATTAGCATAGCATATAATGGGCACCTTTAAAAAGCATTATGCGGGTCACTCTGTAATTCGGCGCAGAGAGATAATAAATAATGAATAATCAGAGAACCTTTACTGAGATGCTTCAAAGGCGAAAAGCAATGAACATTTCAATTTTGTTCTGAAAAGAAGAGTTTTCTAACTGAAAAATAAAGTTTGACAATGAATAACGAAAGGATAAAATTACGAACTCAACGTCAAATATCAGAAAAACGCACGCAGTTCAAGAAACTTTTACCACTAAACATCCCTAAATATTTTCCGAATTCAAAATATCAAAAGCAGACCTCTGGTGGATTACTATGCTTTAAAATTCGGTCCTATTTCGTTATGGATCACTTGTCACGTTACAAGTTCGTTTGAAAAAAACCCTGTACACAACCAAACAGCTAGAATCTTATGTAGAGTTAAATGGGATGCATTTCTCACGGAAAAGCTGAAACTTAGGGTAATAAATAAAGTCTGGGACTCTATGTTGGAATTAGAATAGGTAGCAGTTTTAGCCACTGAATCAAATAAATCCGTTCAACAGTGACTGAAAGGTAGCCGA